ACAATGCATTTAAAGTGTATAAAGATTTTCCTATTGTTTCAAAACACCATAAATCACTTTTAATTTCATATGATGTTAATAAACATTGGTATCTATGGTTACATTTAGAGAACCTCAATTTCTCTAAATATGTTATTTTAAAAACTTCCACGGGGTAAAATATTCGACTTTTTATAACATCTTTCTAAAAAAAACTTCAAAGAACCTTGAAGCACATTGTACGAAAGCCCACAAGGTTCATTCGAGATTCGAATTTCGGAGTACGAGATTCGAAATTCGAGTTTTGAAATTCAAGATCCAAACTAACCAATCAAAAGCAGGTTCAACATTTGATTACTCCCCTTTATTATGTTTTTACTATCAAGAATTCGTTGAATATTTTTAAAACAAATGGATCATTTGCTAAAATAATAATGCAAGAAAAAATGTTTTATGTGTCAAAACGAAATAAAAATAAAATTTGGATTACATTTTGAAAAATATACATAAAATCTTATTTTTCTAATTAAAGAAAACAGTAAATACGTATAATATAGAATATTATATGGTCTTTTCGTTGACTTGCGGAAAAAGTAGGTCGACTAAGTTTTTATTAGATCACTGATGAGGGAGAAAACTATTATTGATTAGATATGAAATATTGAGAATCGTGTCTACACTGCTTAGCAATTCAAGGGTATTTATTTCATTACATTTATAAAGGGTACATTAGTGCAGTGAGACTTGACTGCTGAATCGAACTGTATCGTTAAAAGGTTTTACTAGTATATTTTAGTCTTTGACCATAACACTATGGTCAGAGACTAAAATATATAACCATAAATCCTTAGTTCGCTACTATTTGATATCAGATAAAATAAATGCCGCGATTATTTTATTTCATAATGCCAATCTGTTTTGTGCATGTTATTCCTAATTAATTCAAAAAATCAAAGCCTTAGACCAAGATAAATAATTGAAAACTTATTCCTCTATTAGGAAAATAAACGCGATTTTTGTTTATCAATACCACGTCGCCTTTCAAGTTTTTCAAAGTAACAATTTCATTGTGTTCGGAAAAATGGACAGGAGGGGTAAGTAGGGGTGGGGTTATTGTTAATCTTTAGACACTTGACACTTATTTATAAGTTTATTATGTCATCAACCCTGTAAACAAAATTGACTATACAAAAATATATATACTCCTGATATATGTAATCTGTTTAATATTTAAGAAGCTAAAATATAAATTGAAGTATATCTTGCTGATCAAAAATTCAATAATTGTTTAAATTTCCTTCTAAAATATATAATACTCTTTCTTGCATTGTAATATTATCAAATGACCCATTTGTTATAAATATATTAAACGATTTCTTGATAGTAAAAACATAATAAAGGGGAGTAATCAAATGTTGAACCCGCTTTTGATTGGTTAGTCTGGATCTTGAATCTCGAAACTCGAATTTCGGATCTCGTATTTCGAAACTTGAATCTCGAATGAGCCTTCTGGGCTTTCGTAACATTGAGAGGTATAAAACGAAAATTTTTGCTTTAAAAGATTTAATTTTCAAGCGTTATTTTGAGACCTTTTGAATAAAATTATAAATTAAAGAGCTATCATTCCTGGCTGAGGATTGGAGTACCTTAAATATATCGAAAGGACATATGAATGGAAGTAATTATTGTTAAAGGAGTTAATTGATAATACGTCGTCGGTATATTTAAATGCCGAGTTGGAGGCTAAAGAGAGTGTTTTCCAAAAATCATGTAGAAACTCTTTGAATAAATTTTTCTTCATATGATTACAAATATAGATTTGCGAATAACAAGATAAAATTAATACCCATGACAGTGACAATAATTTATTATCTTAAATGTACAAACATACATTGTAGAGAGAAAGTAGGAAAAGATACAAGCACATAGAAAAAAGAAAACTGGGAATTCCAAAAGTTCCAAAAATTTCAATATGGTAAATAAAACTTAGAAAACTTTTACTTTGATACTATAGTTAACTATAGTTAACAATATTTTAGTATACTTTGTATGAGGTTGTACGTGCCGATATTATTGATTTTGGTGAAGTTTGACCAAAGCAAGTTGCTTGAAGTTGAATGATAACTATCCGTCTCTTATTTACAACACTTCTAAATATATTATTGCACAGTACTCCCGAGGTCCATCCTTCGAGATCCAGTATAGGTATTGTAATTCAAATTAATTCTGTCGCCCGCTCATTTGCTCAAGGAGTAAGGAGTTGATACTTACGTCGTGAGTTCGAATACCACTGTGAGACGTGGAGACCGGTCGTTTGGATCAGACCATTCAAACCGAGGTCCCGTGTTGCAGTAGGTGCTCGCACGAAAAAGATTCCTCACTAATCAATGGTCGTAAGTGCCGAGCATAGGGCAGAATTTGCAGCTCTCCACCGGCAAAATGGTGGTATTACCATATGAGTGATAAAATAGAAGGTTGTTAATCAACAATCATTCATCAAATTCATTTTGATTGTTTGGACTATGAAATAATTAATGCCGACTTATAGGTGTGTCTAATTCCTTCCTTAAGGATATCCGATCCTCAGCCATGAAGGATAACTCCAAAAATTAATATTTAATTTAAAATGCATCAAAATGAAGCTTGAAAATGAAATTTTTTCATGCAACAATTTTCATTTTATTCATCTTTATAAGATTCAGGGTCTTTGGAAGTCATAGAAAATGTCTTACAAAAGTTGACATTTGTACCCTATAAAAAGAGAAAAAAATCATTACAGTTTTAGAGAATAAGATTTTCTTGAATCCAGCCTTAGATACCAATGCTTATTAGCATGATATGAAATGATAAGTGATTTGTGGTGTCTTGAAATGATAGCAAAAGCCTTTTACACTATGTATTATAGAATACATGACAGAAATAGAAGACAAAAAATACCAAATAGATATAAAAATTATGACAATTTCTCTGAATGCCTGGATACCTATCGTTTTTTAACCTAAAATATATTTGTTGATCAATTTGCAATTAGAAAATGCATTGCTGATATTCCAATTTGCTTTTTCTGCAAAAACATTGAAGATTTGACAATTTTCTCCAAAATATGATTAACTTTAATCTTTAACTTTAAAGAAATACTGCGAATAAATTTACATATCTTTGTGGATTCAGAGATACTTTTATGAGCATTTTTGATTACTTAACTGTTAATTTTATAAACCTGAGGATCGGACTACCTTAATAGGGAGCAATGCGTACATGTACGAAATAGAATTTTTGTGTCTGTACATTTTTTTTTCAGGTTAATTGTATTTGCCGATTTTTTTCTATTCCACTTTAATATCATGGTAGTGACTATAGATACCATATAGCAATATCATACAATAGTTAAATAATATAATATTTGTTTAAAGTCGGGTAAAACAAACTAGTAACATTAGCTCTGAGGAAATACTTCTAACTTGCTTAAACCTAAATGTTTTTTTTTCTAGCCTATCACATACCGACTTCCATACGAAACATAGTGATACAACATGACATTACAATTTTTTTAAATGTAGACAAAAAGATGCATCATATCCCAAAGATTTTGCTATCATTGAAAATTTTATTAAAATCTTAAATTAAAAAAAAATTATATTTTTTGATTTTACTAGAAGCAACTAATCTTGAAGTTTTAAAATAATCTAATAAAAATAAAATAATCTTTCATACGTTTGAGAAATATTCTTTTGTAGATTACAATTTTCCATTGCAAATCATTCAAATTATTTCTTAGTATTTAACACAATGAAAAACTATGAAACGTATTGACAGTTTTATGACAAACAAAATGTGTAAAATAATAAATTCATTTATATGTATTTTACAATAATTTTTTCATAAAAATTTCATTCAACGATAGAATTGTGAAAAAAAACATCATAAAAATAGATGATACAGAAACATTCACATATTATAATATTAAGATCTTTGCTTATAGAAAAACAATTCAATAATTGACGAATTTAACTCATGACACAGAGTCCCCATTGCAACAAAGTTCAGATATAATTTCCGAATTAAGGACATACGCAAGGTACCTTACCTACTGATAATTTTTCAAAATGTTCTAAATTTAAATTAATTTATACTTATAATACCATTTCATGTTCTTAGACAAAAAATCAGCATGTGTTACAAGGGGTTTCGAAAAGATATCAAAGTTTGAACAGTTTTGCATTATTCAAAGAAAAAGGTATAAAAATTACAAAACATAAATTCCAGATTTCTTTTTCATCAAAATTTGTTTTTAGAAGAGGTATACAAATCAATGTATAGACATTAAAAGTATTGCACACAGGTCCTTTATTTAGTGGATTTCTTCAACTCCAGGGAATAACCCAATAAAGTTCAAACTACGTTGCGTATGACCTTAATGTGGCCTTGTTTAATACAAATAATTAGAGGATAAAAAGACAAAAAGACATCTGCACATGACAACAAGCTAACATCAATGTTTGATTCTCTCGATTTTGAATAGTAAGCTTAAGACATTAACAATATATACCAATTTCTCGAGCAATAAAAAAACTCTTCATTTAAATCATATGTGAAAATTTAAAGACGGAGTAAGAAAAGCCAACTATTTAACATTTTAAATTGTGAAAACCTGTCAAAGCTTGCAACAAATGCAGAAGCGTGACAGTATTGAACTAGGTACAACAGAATTAATGAAGCAAAGAATTCTTACACAATTGAATATACTTTGCAAAATGATTTTGAATAAATTATTCTTTCTGAAATACTGTAAATCACTTTTTATTCGCGAGAACTTTATTTTCGCGTAATTACGCGAGACAGTGTACTCGCGAAAATTTAATTCTCGCGTATAATAGTATTCCTTAAGAACATATAGAGCAATGACCACAGTTCGCGAAAATTTTGTCTCGCTAATCAAGAGTCAATGACTGTCTCGCGAAAATAAGGTGTCGCGAAAATTAAGTGATCTACAGTAAATACATCTACGTGGTTTTTAAAGCTTAGTTTTCATTTGAATAAGTAACTCTACCCGAAGAGGTTTTAGACTGATCAATAAAAGAACTTCCAAAAGCTTTCTTGTACAAATTCCATACTCTTTTGTTGCATACGTAACTGAGAAATATAAAGAACCCTTGCAAGCCATTGAGAATTGCCACAAAATACGACAAGATGGAAACTTCAATAAATGTATCTACAATCTGTAAGAGCCATGACAGTCCAGTCAAAGAAAACAATTTTACATAAACAGTAAATTGAATTCTATTTCTGGATGTGCTTTCAATGTCTGGTGAGGAGTATATTTTATATGACGTCAGAATATAAAACATTATATTTGTCAAGCAGATCAAAGTTAACGGCAATATAAGCGTCACGATGAAGGAAATTTTGTGCGTCATTAAAGACGACGCGTTATCGTAGCCAGTGTTTTTGCCGTTCGACTCTATCAAAGATATAATTAAATTGCAAGAAACAATAAATGAGGAACTACCGAAAGCATACGAGACATACTTAGTTATTGTTTTTCTGATATAGCTCCCTGAATTCTCGGTACGACGATCTTGCCTGAAGACTCGGAACATGTGAAAAGAGCAAACCTGAAGCCAGAAAAACAACAAGAGCCATGATATATGGGACAAAGCCGACAATACAACCATACCTGTAGAACGAAAAAATGGTCTGACAATCAGCAACATCTGTGCTAGAAACAGAAAAATCATCAAGATCATATTGTTAATTCCAGGAAGTGTCCTAAGGCTTGGAAATAGACAATATGTTGTAAACGCTAACACCAAGAACAACAGAGATATGCATACACAACTTAGTGTAAGCAAAGACAAGGGAAGGCCTTCATCAATAAAACCCATTTCTTTCAATTTCTCTTTGTAGATAGAAATATCAGAGGCACATACCCGATATTGAACAGTAGCATCGGCCGCGAAGTGATAAGAAGATAGAGACAACCCTAGGTATGAAAACGTGGATCGAAGTTTTGTCCAGTGAACCCCAAATTCGTTGCCTTTCAATTCAACTTGTTTGCATCTCAAAAGAGGGCTAACTAAAGCATTTTTGAACATGCCAGAACCGCATTTCTTTTTGTCAGATAAAACAATACACTGTGATTTGTGAACTTTCCAGACTAAATATGGCAAGCTGAGAGCTTTCTCACTTCTAGAAAGTTCTACATTAACTACAATGTCGTCCACAAGAGTCCAATTTGTGGACAATTGAGTGAATTCTATCAGTTTTATCTCTAGATCATTCCGGATAACTTTCTTATCAAAAAATATTTGTAAATATAATAAAAAATGACCATGCCTTATGTTTTCAGTAGTGCATCTAGAAGATGTCATTAAAATGAAATTTTCAAAATAGAAGCCAAATTCTTCAAAATTATTCGAAAATGATGTCTCTATAACTGCTCTTAATTTTCGCATCAGTTCCTTGAGTGTAGCATTGGCATATGTTAGCGTTGTAAGCTCGATTTGTACTGGAAGAGTGTATCGTAAGTTCTGAGTGGATGCTAGTAAGGCTACACAAGTGTCGTTCATTTGTGTCTTTCCAGGAAAGCAGGTCAGATTTTTGCATGTTTTCTGCAAGAGAGAATCAAGTAATTAATTTTTGATAATTACTTTTTAGATATTTAAGGAAGCAGTTTATTAAAAAAGAGTAAAAAGTTCCAACGCAGGTTGACCCAGTATAACTTGCGTTGCTACTTAATTAATTCCTTATAATAAAATTTTCAATAATTACTTTTAGAAAAACTAGACAATTTCTCTCTTAAAAAGTGCCTTAAAATTGTTCCTATCTTAAACGTTATGTCAGGCAGATTGATATGTTTTTGACGTTTGTTATTGTGACGTAGGCAAATCAGGATATAAAATATATATTAATTTTTTAATCCAATCAAATGACGCATCACAACCAAAATTAAATTATTGAAAATATTTTATACATTAAAAAACAGAATATTATCAAAAATTTGGATATTTACGTATTGTCCCTCACATTCCCTCCCTTCCAGGAATGAAAATAGAAAACATTACCTGACTGCTATCATAAATCTGGTTTGGCAAACAATTGCTGTAAATGTCTTCAACAGGCAGGATACCTGATTGTTCATATGAAGATATAGAGAAGTAAGTTCTGTATGACCAGGTATATGGGGGAATTGTGGGCCATGGCGTAGTAGTTGAAGGAATGACCTCTTTGTAAAAAACATCAATACAGTTAGAAGCGTTGATGTCATTACACATTTTACAAAAAATGTTTTTGTATCCTGCACAAATATGGACATTAGGAAACTGCAGACAAGCCTTGGTCAGATTTGAATTTTCTTGCAGCGTGCAGGACTGATCTGTTTCAGCAAGATGTGTTTCAGTGGGGTTACAGATCAGACAGAATCTGTTTTTATAAACAATTGAGTTAAACTTAACTGGTGGAAAAGTTAAGACATCTGTGTTTTCACATGCAACTGATACATCCTCGTTATAAGTATTCCACGTACCAGACACGTTACATGAAGATATTTTCGCGCTGCACACGTCGCTACACTTTCCTGCATCAATGGGTGGCTCGAAACCCACCTCACAAGAGCTTTCCTCTAGATAATTCATCAGGTGCTGCAAAGATTTAAAATTTCTATGATTTACAAAGATCGGACAACTAACTTTTAACGGCCATGGAAATACAGAGTCTATGTCAATGTTATCAATTTCATTAGCTTGGATTTTCCCGCACAAATAACAAAACAAATTGGCGTAAGTCTCCTTATTGCCACGTGTTAAACTTACAGGAAACGTGTGATAAAAATGAGAAAAATTTCGACTCGTACAGTAATCTTCGTATTCATCAATTCTTTGAATGCATCCACCAATTGCTCGAAAGTTTTTCACCGTATCATTTTGACTTCCGGAATAACGATCACTGATACATGTCCACTTTTGTTTCAGAGCAAAATCGTCACAGCAATTTGTCGTGCATCCTACGGTACAGGAGCAGTTCTTTTGTAAAGGTAACGTATACGATGGTAATAACCACGGTGAACAGACACCATTCCTGGTCAAAGCAAAGCTCGTGTAAACTAGACTGGTTATGTTGACATAATAGTGGATGTCATTGTGATGTTGAAATGTTGGATCAAAACTCGAAGATTCATTAAATGTTGTCGGTAAGCATGCATATTTAACATTAGGTAAGTTTATCATGTCTGCCGAAGGTGACGACTCCAGTTCCGTTCCTTGTTCTGTAGAAGTGTTCCCTTGTATGGCCGACATCGCTCTTAGTTCTCGCAGATATTGCTGAACATGCTCTTTGACGTATTCAAATCCAATGGTAAATTCAAAAAGCTCATCCTTATAGATTTCTTTATCATAAGACAACTCGACATCACTGTAGAAATTAGTATTGTTATCGCCACGCGAACAAGCAAAGCAAAAGTAATTTTTGTAAGGAAAGGAAGCTTCTAAGAGAGGTTGATCTAAACATGCATTTTTAAAAATGCTGGGATATTCGCAAGTGTTTATAATAGCACTTTTCTCAAAAGGAGGGGGGTTACACATTTTGCAAAATATATTTCTAAATGCTCCTACTGGGGCGTAATACCCACTTCGTTGACAGGAGATATCTATTTGCCTATCGTATCGCCTCCACGAACCCGTCACATTACAAGATGTTATTTTGTCAAAATTATCTGTTTCACAAAATCGTTGCTCAACAATAGTGCCTTCAATTTTGATGCCACATGATCTGGATTTTGCTGCAGAAATTATGTCATTGTACGACGAAAAATAATTAAAATCCGTGTTTTCAAGGCAGTCGAAGTATGGCTGCATTGGCTCGGTATTAGTAGCATTATTGCACAGTGCGCAAAATTTGTTTTTATAAGTAGTTCTTGTTGCTTCGCTTTGAACAGGTGGATTTTTAAAGAAATCCACATCTGTTGGAAGCTGTGAGCAGTTTAATGATAAATCAGCGTTTGCCCCGTATGGACACGATGCAACCATAAGCTTTGTTTTAGACACAGAGAACAATGAATTAAACATGTACGTGTTCCGGCATTCCAGAAATCCGACTTTAAAAAACAAATCCGGGCAACAAGTGGGACTATTCTCGCTCGTTGAACAAGAGTCGGAACAGGAGCATTCCGGACATCCAGTTGAAGTTTTTGAATCATCCGGAATATTCAGAGCCGTCAGAATAGATTTATCGCATACAATCTCAGTGCCACACAGAAGTATGCTTTGTAATATTACATGAGAGGCATTGAAGGCGAAATTTTCCTTATTTTGAATTTGCTTATTTTCATTTGGAATCGGTGTATCATTCTGTAAGAGCAGACATTTTACAATTAAGGTCCATATTACGACAATTTTCAGCATATTTTTCGGATTGAAAATTTGAAAATTCAAGACTTTGATTATCCTTATTAAAAGCCGATAGATGAAGTAAATTTTTGAAACTTGTTAGTTCCTTTCCATATTCAATTTTTATAGAACTTTTATTCTTTATGCCCCTCCCCTATTTTCTGAAATGGCTGGTAGGTTGTCAATAGCATAAAAACACAGTTTATAAAACATTCAATCTCAGATTTTTATTGCACATGTATGCAATAAAAAGAAAATGATTCAACAAAAAGTTTAATATTACAACCTCTATATCAACATTACAAAGTTTCTTTTTTAAAAAGTAGGGTTTATTATTACCAATTTAAAAATTTAATAAATGTTAACCAATTTGTTTTATTGTTTTTCTAATTGCATGAACAATGATCTTTGGCATCATTTAGAGTAAAAACGTAACTAATAAATAAAAAAAACAAGAGGCCCACAGACCTCAATGCTCACATTCGACATCGTGGAACCTTTAGTGTAAATATTATATTTCACCTAATACTGTAAAGAGAAGTTATGATTCCATGTTATGGCCCCATCCTAACTCGCTGAAGTCGACTTACAATCAATAAACTTAATATTCAAACTCTGAAAATGTATATACAACAGGAACTTACTGTTGTGAAAAAAGACTTTACAGAGTTTTTTTGTCTATATTCATGCATCATTAAAAATCTTGTGGCATCAAGGACAAATAATGCTTACAAATTTAAATCTTTAGTAGAAATATTTTCATAATTAATTAAGTGTCACCTAACCTTACTATTCTCGATTCCCCACTCCAAAATGCTTTATATTCCCATATGAATTTTGAATATTTACATTTCCAATGTCTTTGTCCGAGATAAAATTACCAATTGTAAATGCAATTTATTTCCTCATGAATGTTTTGGCGCGGTTCCAAAAAAAACCACGTGCAGGGCGGGACAACACCTAGAGAGAAGCAGGCTTGGAGCCCGTGGATTGGCGGAATCAAAGTATATAAATATAAGGAATAACTGTCAGATTTTTCAATTTCATAAAGATTATCAATCGATTGGCTTGTGTGATAATTTTACGCATAAACGCCTTCGGCGCTTATGCAAATTATCACTCAAGCCAATCGATTGATCACTTCATGAAATCGAAAAATAAGACAGTTATTCCTTAAATACTTATTTTGGTTACATAATATCTCCAGATCAGGGTCAAATTTTGAACATGAACGTGAATCTGCACTGAAATGGGGTGTTTGTCTTTTTATACGAGTTCTTCTAGAAGAAATCCAATTGTTTGAAATTAATCTTCATGGAAATTGAGAATGTCTTCATAAAAATTTGTGAATGACGAAGACCGTCAAGCATAAAATATCCTACGTTTTCAACTACCGTTAATGTCCCTGGCATGCTCTACCTCACTAGACAGTGATACCTTATATTTCATTTTCATTGTGAAATAAACTTGTAAATTTAAATTTAAAAATGTGAACTAATAGATTTGACCTACACAGGCCTCCCATATCAATAGTCCCCGCCGACTGACATACAACACAAAGACAGACGCACAAGATATACATGTATATTAGGCCTCCTTAGCTCCTAGAATGATCAAGAAATCAACTCAACCAACTTTCAAAGAGAATTCACAGAGAAAACAAATAGACATGGAAATATATCATTTTGTCAGAAATAATCAATCATAACTGAGAAAATTCTATGTTGTGCAAATGATATAGTGATAAAGTGAAATATATACACATAAAACTTTCCATTTTAAACTATGTAGATTAAATACGAGGATATATAATATATGAAATAACAAACAGTATTCAAACTCAAAATTCCATTAAACATTACGAATTTTGGAGCAGAGCAAACACGGACCTCCAAAACATCTTAGGTGGGATCAGGTACCATGGAAGAGTGAGCATAGCCTGCCGATCGGTCACTTCTGCTGTATGCTACTTGTCATGATCGGGGAATAACAGGAACATCCGTCGGTAATTCAATGTGTATATACTACAGTATAGACCTAGTAATAAGTATGAAAAAAGTCTGTCAGCATTTGATTTGTTACCTGAAGTCAATATTGTCTTGTTAGAAATGAGAATCGTAAGTGGACAAAATTTCTTTTCGTCAAGAGGTTGTTTGAAGAAAAGATACCACAGAGTCTGACACATCTGTTTCATACTTGGATATTTTACTCGAAAAAGACGTTAATGGTAATCTAACAACCAAGCTATATGATAAACGTAATGACTTTAACTTTTCTATCGTCAACTTCCCTTACTTATGCAGCAATATACCTTCATCACCTGCATACGAAGTGTATATATCTCAGTTGATTCGATACGCAAGAGCATGAACAATTTCTAAAACGAGGTACATTATTGACAGGCAAGTTGTTGATGAAACAAGAATATCAACAGTCTCGTTTAAAGTCATCATTTCGTAAATTCTATGTTCGATACAATGACCTCGTCAGCAAATACAATTTATCTTTGAGATAAATGCTGACTGACGTTTTCCATACTAATTGTTAGTCAATTATTTATACACTGAATTGACGACGGATTTTTCCGTTATTTCCCGATCATGACAAAGGGCACACGGCGGATGTGACCGTTCAGCAGGGGATGCTCACTCCTCCATGGCACCTGATCCCACCTCTGATGTTTCGGAAGTCCGTGTTTGCTCTGCTCCTACATGTATTTTGTATTGCTATTGAATACTGTTCGTTATCTCCATATCCTTCCTTGAATGATAAAAATATATGCCTATATACTTGTAACTTTCCATTTCAAAATGTATTTAATGTCAAATGTAAGAATTTAGACCATCATTGAAAGAGAAAAAAATTAAATCCTTTATTTTTAACTTTTTTTAAAGGAAGAATTGATTCAAACTTTTACAATATATATTTAGGATACGAAATATCACGTTTTGGACTTGGGCCGGATAACAAGTGTTACTTCTACTAAAAGAAATTTATAAAAAACATAAAAACATCAAATATTTCCTGATTCAGGAGAAACGTCCTTTAACAAAATTCAACAACATTAAAACAAATATATAAAAACACAAAAAGTATGAAAATAAATTCATTTTTATAATTTTTTATCTTTTTTTGTTTATCTTTTATTTTCATTTACCTTGTTACGGGTAATGTTTAAATCTTTTTAAACATATTGTTTGTACACACAATTACACTGAAGTTATCACAAAGATATTTTTTAAAATGATATTTGGATTCTTAATATCTATGCAGTTTATTTATTTATTTATTTTTTTTTTTTCGTGTTTTCTAATATTTTGTCGGAATTTCCATATGTATCAATCGCACACCTTAATAAAAAACAAAAACAAACTAATTCTTCACTCAAATGAAGAAAAGTTTATTTAAACGTCTACATGTAACAAAGAGGTATATTGCTATGATCTTCAATTCAACACTTAGATGCAAAGAAGACTTTTTTTCCATTTCTACGTTATCGATTGATTGTTTTTTTTTTTTTTGTTTTTTTTTTTTTTTGGTTTTACCTCCCGTTCCACTTTTTACTCAAAGACGTCACCATTATGTAGTCATAGATTTACACCTTTATTTGGCATTCATTGCCATTTACATGTAGGAGTGGGAGTTCTTTATTGTGCCAACGTGTATCATGAAACAGGGTCTCGATTTGTTAGGGTCTCATTCAAACGACTAAGACTTTTCACTTCAATGTTCCAAGCGCTTTTTGAAGAAATGGTTGCTACCTATTTTTATAGACCTAACTCAGTCACGGCTGCGACTCGAATGAGCGTTCTACCGACTGAGCCACCGTAATTGTTGTGTATTCGGTATATCCCCTTGAACTCGAAACAAGAAAAACCAGAGTCTGGTATGTCGTATTTGCTAGGAAAGGACTTTAATTAATAGTAATTTCATAGCAAAACTTTATTATAAATATGAAATCATAAACGTTACTATCTTTATTGTTATCTTTCCTTATAAACTTTTGTGAGTGTATGTTTCCCAGTTGATTCGATAAGATCATGTTCTAAGTACAAACAATTTCTAAACAAGACAAGATATTGACAAATCAGCTGATAGGAGGAGGATATCAACACTCTCGTTTGCAGTCAAGATTTTGCAAATTCTATGGTCGATAAAATGACTTTTCATCAAATAAAAATTAAGTCGAATGCCGTCTGACGTTTTTCAAATCAAGTGTTCGGGTGTTACTTGCTTACTGAATAGTCCACAGATTTGTATATTCGCCGGATCAAAGACCACTCAAAGAATGGCACCTGATTCTACACTGTCTGTTCTGCTTCGAATTAATATTTCGAACATGATTACTCTCCTTTATCTCCATATTTCATACAAGTTTACAAGATGTGTAGGAAATCAAAGCTATGCATTGTACTCATGAAATATTGATATTAATTCTTGTTTGATAAAAACTAAAAACTGATCGTAATAGCGGTTTTGTAGAGTAAGACTTCCCCATAATTATACTTTTACCCGGAGGTCTGGCTCTGTAGTGAGATTTCCCCATAATAATACTTTTCCCCGGAGGTCTGGCTCTGTAGTGAGATTTCCCTATAATACTACTTTTCCGTGGAGGTCTGGCTCTGTATTGAGACTTCACATAACAAGTAGAGCTTTTTAAAAAAGCTTCCCGTCTTTAGCAACAATCTTAAACAGTAAAGTGATCTACACCTATAAGGCGCGCCGTATAATTCTTTTGAATTGCTTGAATTTGTATTTCTATATTTGCTTTTTACGGGCATAAGCCCTACCATGGTTGTCGCTCGGCCATCTCCGTAAACTTTAACTGACCAAGAGCTTTCGATAAACCTCGGCTGATTCCATTCTCTCTTCAAACAAGAAAGGGGAAAAGAATAATAACAAATTGTAAAGCCTGCGAGCAATAAAAATCAAATTTTATTTATAATGAAATGAAAGAGACCTTTTTATTTATTGCTATAAAAAATATCATGTTATTAAAAAAAAATTACTGCTGATTTTGTTGTTCGTTTTGTCATTTTTTTTTTTAAGATTGAAAATCTTGCAAAATTGTTAAGTCGTACGAAAATTAGATCATCAGAAAGTTATCTCCCTTGCCTTGAATAGCTTTTCAACCGATGAAATAATTGAAAATTTTCTCATCATGCAATTTCTACCAATCACAAAAGAGAGGAAGTGCATAGTCCGAAGACTGTAAAAAACTTAAACTATACAACACCGTCTTCCAAGGAAGACGGTAATAATACTTTTCCCCGAAGGTCTGGCTCTGTAGTGAGATTTCACCATAATAATACTTTTCCCCGGAGGTCTGGCTCTATAGTGAGATTTCCCCATAATAATACTTTTCCCCAGAGGTCTGGCTCTGTAGTGAGACTTCACATAATACTTTTCCCCGAAGGTCTGGCTCTGTAGTGAGATTTCACCATAATAATACTTTTCCCCGGAGGTCTGGCTCTGTAGTGCGACTTCACATAATAATACTTTTCCCCAGAGGTCTGACTCCAAAGTGAAAGTCCTCGGGGAAGGAGGGGGCTCACACTAAAAAAAGGCTTGCAGATGAAGTCTCACGAAGGGGGGGGGGGAGTTCGCTCTACAAAACTTGTCAGTTTCCTCTATTCCTCTAACATTTTGCAGTTGTGTAGGCATTACACTGGGAAGTTATAAATTTGATTTCTCCCTTGAAGATCCACAAAAGCGAAATGTTTTATATTTTTCATGTAGAGTCTCTGAAGTGTAAGTAAGTAAGTAAGGTTGATCGATTTCCGCTGAAGATTCTTATTTTTTTTCTTTGCTAGTAAAGATATCATGGAAAAAAAATTTCATTAAAAAATATCATTTCTAACAACAACAAAAATAAAGTCAAGAAATATTTCTCTAAAACTAAAATTCTAAATCTGAAATAATTCCTTAAAACCTATTTTTAGGATAACTTTAAAAAAAAATATTTTTAGCGTAAAAAGTTTGGGCATAAGTGGGTTTTAAATGTAGTGTAATTCCACCAGAGTCAATATCCTTCCCGATTGCGTCCGAAATAAAACAGAATTTGTTCCTGAATGATCACAAACAACCAGAGAGGTATGAGATTCAATTATGTAATGCGGTAAGACTACATATTAATTTATATATTGATATAAAACGTTCTGTGAATAATGGAAGGTATAACATTGAAATAATGAAAGACTTATAATGTACATTTAATATACGGCATTCTCAGTCTTCCTTGTACTAAGAGTTCAACTATTCGCCAGATACACGTATAACAGGAATCTAACTTATTTCCTGCATTATTACAAATCTGTTTTCGAGACTTTATTTCATATCAAAATTTGTATCCTGATAAATGGTGAGTTAATTGAGTATTTTCTTTCAGTTGATTGGGTACGCCAGAGTATGTCTTTACATAAAGATTACAGACTGTGATCAGTCTCATACTTCCACAGCAAACGCTTTCCTCTTCTCATGTTCTAAAGAAACATGTAAAGTTCTGACCAGACAATCTCTAAACTGAGATTAGCCACTTACAAAACACTCTATGATACATGTACATAAGGAATCACTGTCTAGTTCGTATAGTATGCTAGGGCATCAACGATAGTGGGAAAATGGGATAATTTGCATAACGGGCGAAGCCCATTAATTAGAAATAATCCCATGTTTCCCACTATCGTTGATGTCCCTGGCATACTATACTAACTAGACAGTGTTTCCTCATATTTACATTTCATTGTGAAATAAAATTGTAGATTTAGACTTTTAAAATGTAGACATAGATTTGAATTAGACAACGACTATCATGCCAATTTCAATAGTCCTCTCCCGCTCACGTCAAACACAAAGGAAGCCGCACGAAATTTACATGCATATTTGGTCTCCTTAGCGTCGGACACAGAGACAGATGCGCACGAGATTTGCATGCATATTAGACCTTCTTAGCTCCTGACCCATCGACATGCCTAATTTACATTCCGGTAGAATTATCAAGAAATCAACTCCGCTAACTTTCAAAGAGTTATCACGGAGAAAACAAGAAAACATTGATGTAACCATAAATTGTCGCCCGGGAAATAAATAAAGTAAACAATGGAAATGAGTCTTGATCATCAAACCGTACCGCTTCGATGTGTGTGAAAAAGGCATGCGTCTAAATGATGGAGACGATAGTCGAGAATATTTTGAAAACAGAGTCGGATGAAAATCAAACCAAAAATACCATTTCAAACTTTATCAATTCCTCAAGTAAATGTTGGATGCATTGTTACAACGCACTTTGAAAAATTACGCACTTTGAAAAATATTTTCAAAGTGCGTTAAATTTGGGAACAAGCTAACACACTTTGAAAAAATTAATTTTTTAAAAGTGCGTTGATATCGACCATATTAACGCACTTTGAAAAAATGTAAAGCTTGATAAATGTTCTTGCAAATAATCGGTATGATAAATAATTGATCCTGGTTGGCTATCTTATTTTTTGATAAGGTCACTTCAGGACATGAGGTATTGACGTTTTAAATATTTTAGGTTTCGGTTAATGTTATAATAGGAAATGGGTCTTTTAGAAAAATGGAAAGATGATTATTATACCCCCCGCTTGAAAAGTAGGAGGGTATATAGTAATCGTTATGTCCGTCCGTCCGTCTGTTACGCTTTGGGGTACCCATCTCTTATCCGCAACTCCTCTTATACTAATGAGTGAATTTAATGAAACTTTCACAGAATCTTTATTACATATTGCCATTGTACACATCCTATTTTACTTTTTTATTCGACGCGTATTTTAGGTTTCCCATAGCAAAACATGGACATTGCCATTATATTCTTACCTATGACGTCACATATGCCGGCTTCTGAATATCATTTGATACGACGAGTTATTCCTCTTTACACATTACCGTAAAACAATATATAGCAAAACATGGACATTATGGGAGGCGGGGGGGGGGGGGTATCATTTAGTGAGCTCATTGCTCACAACACCTCTAGTTTATTATCATTATTTTGATTCGTTTCTTTTTATTAAAAAGCATATATGTAAGGGGCTGTAGATATAAACAACTAAAAGCATCGCATTTTTTCTTAAGAAAAGAGAGCAATTTGATTTGTCAAAACAATGCAAATTCTTTCTTTATCATACGTTTTTTTTTTTTTTTTTTTTTTTCCCTCATTTATTTCCCAGACCTATAACAATTAAACAGCTGATAAGTTGGGCAGCTGCCAGGGATTTGACTAAGCTCCCTCTATAACAATACATAATAATAATCCCTACAGCACCACGCAGGGTGCTTTATTATTTAGATACAAAGTCACACATAATTTTACATCTAATACATATTATAAATCAAATAATATACGTATATATAAATATGGAGATATAAACAACTAAAAGCATCGCATTTTTTCTTAAGAAAAGAGAGCAATTTGATTTGTCAAAACAATGCAAATTCTTTCTTTATCATACGTTTGTGGCAACGCACTTTGAAAAAATTACGCACTTTGAAAAATTTTTTCAAAGTGCGTTAAAATTGGGACAAAATCAACGCACTTTGAAAAATTTTTTCAAAGTGCGTTAAATTTTGGACCAACTCAACGCACTTTGAAAAAATTTTTCAAAGTGCGTTAAGAGTCTACATCAATATATTTTACCATGGAGACACTTAACGCACTTTGAAAAAAAAATCATATTTTAGTCATGAAAAGATTTTATTTGTTTTTTATCTTTCAAAAAACTAAGCCTAAGCCTAACCTCAAAAATGAATTGATTTACTCCCGTCGAAAAGAGAAGACGGGTATAAGATCCCTATGTCCAAATCGTTATCTTTCCAATACATAGGTGTCGGTAACAAACGGGGGAGGGGAGCAATAAACCCAAAAAGGGAAAGCTGCATTTTCAATGCTTATACGATGTATATATCTTTCCAAAATAAGTGGGGGGCTTAGCCCCCCCCCCCCATCCCCCCATGGCCCTTCGCCCAGTCTCGATGTCTATGCTATAACCAAAGCATTCATATAATTATGTATTTACCTAACTTGTATGACGTTGAAAACTTTCAATAAAAAATGAGTTAATTAAAACAGATGAAAACTAGAAATTTTAAAGTACAGTTAAACGTTTGAGAGAGAAAGAATTTTCATAGTTTTGAACAATCAAGTTGCCCCTTTTTATCAATGAATTTTATGAAGCTGTCCTCTGTTAGTACCCCTATATACCTTTATATCTACTTATCAGAAACAATCGTCACTCTTTTTTTCAAGACCCTTTAATTTTTCCTTTATTTTATCAAAACCTTAAAGCGTCAATATCTCAGGTCCTATATACAGTGAATTTATCATAAAAAGTTATCAAATCAGGATCTGTTATTTATCATACCGATTATTTGAAGGAATATTGATCAATCTTTACATTTTTTTTCAAAGTGCGTTAATATGGTCGATATTTACGCACTTTGAAAAAAAATTATTTTTTTCAAAGTGCGTTAGCTTGGTCCCAAATTTTAACGCACTTTGAAAATTTTTTTCAAAGTGCGTAATTTTTCAAAGTGCGTTGTAACATACGTTTAATGTACTGAAAAATTACTAGGTTTCATCTATTTAAAGATGAATCATTCATTGAAATTTTCAATACTAGGTACATGTATGTAAATACACTGTAGATATAAACATGTTAATGTAATATCATAGGCATCGAAACCGGGTGAAAGTCGGGCAAGCAGAAGGGCTATGCCCCCATTTATTTTGGAAAAAATATACATAGTATAGGCATTGAAAATGCAGCTTACACTTTTTGGGGTTTATTACTCCCCTTCCTGTTTTATTTGCTACCGACGCTTGTATAATGGTAAGATAAAGTGCTGGGCTCAGGATTTTCGATAGATAAATAAAAATCAAAGCTTTCCATTACTTAAATCTGAATTCAGAAATTTGTTTTTTACATATTTTTTCCAATGTGCTTTAAGTGTCTCCATTGTAAAATATATTGATGCACTTTAACGCACTTTGAAAATTTTTTTCAAAGTGCGTTGAGTTGGTCCCTATATAACGCACTTTAAAAAAATTTTTCAAAGTGCGTTGATTTTGTCCCAATTTTAACGCACTTTGAAAACATTTTTCAAAGTGCGTAATTTTTTCAAAGTGCGTTGCCACAATGCATAAAATATAAATTGAAACCAGACACGTGCATCATCTATAATCAAAATGTTTTTCATTTTATGGATATAAAACACGAACTGTGTAGAGTACGTTTGTACGCGATAAGGAAAATTCGGTGTTCTAAAAAAAAGGGGGGGACCTGTCGTTTTTTCGTCAGTAAATGATAAGCAACTTTATGTATTAAATTTGGAAAACATAATTATATATTTTTACAGAGATTCACTTTATGGAAGAAAATATATTATGTATCTCGAAATTTATAAAGGGAAAAAATATTCTGATTAACAATCTTTTAATGTTTAGAAAACCTTTAATTCTGAATAACTTCTCCCACCTCAATCCCCATACACCAACACTTAAACTTATATGTATAGAGCAGCCCGGTCCCCCAGGCTACAAAACAAATAGAAATGGAAATAATCCCGTATGAAATCATCACCAACGTTGAAAACTGTTTGATCGATACTTTGATCCTGTTGGACTTCTTATTGTTTAAATGTAACTTAATTTTAGTTGTAACACGTCATTTGATTGGATAAAAGATTTAATTTATATCGTATAACCAATCGCATTATCTCGGGTCTTTCCGTCAGAGGTCGGAAAACAACCTCGAATGTATTTTAAACATCCTCGGAACTTAAAAATGTATACATTTCCTGTTTATTCAAATATAGGATAGACGGAGTTCGAAGTCCCTTCTATAGTATATTTTAGGTAATATTATTACATTGAATAAAATTAAAGTCCATATTCCACAGATAAAAGGTCTCCATGCATTTATTTCAAAGATCGTGAAAAGGGAGGGTTGCCTACGTCACAATGAGTTATGTCAAAAACGTGAATACTCTGACTCCACTTTGAAAATATGATATAACTTGAAGCCATTTTTGGAGGAAAAATTGTCTTATTGTCTATACAATAAAATTAAATTATAAGGAATAAAACTTTGCGGTTTATAAAGCGTTAAATTCCCAAGTTGTTATAACGTATAACATAGGTTGCTCTGCTCTTCTTTTGTATTGTTTTATGGACTTTGAGATTGAATACTGTTCGTTATCTCCATATCCTTCTTGAAATAATTTTCGTTCCTTAAATGTTAATACAGTAAATCTTATAAAAAAAAACTTCAACGTGTGAAAAGAAAACTTTTCTTTGACCCTTATTCAATTTTTAGCGAAACGCAAATACCGAGTTGTCCTTAAAAATTGGTATTTTATTTTTAACGAGATGTAATTTTATTTAAGAGATTTAGAAGCTTACTAAAGAATCTATTACAAATAAAGTGCAATTAATATTTAGCGATATTCAATTTTAGCGATCTTGGCACCCTCGCTAATAATGCCAAAATTAAACCTTCGCTAAAAATCTGCTTATACGACACTTATTTAATTTGACTAGGAATTGCTCTCATTTACCTGATCAATACAAATGATATATTGCCGGTCGACAGGGAATGCTCAGTACTAATAGGCACTGAACCCCAAGTCTGGTGTTTCAATGTCTTCGGTCCACCTATTCAACGCTAGAATTATTGTTTCCCCTATTTTCAATTATTTATGAACTTAAGCGTAAAAATTGCACTTTTTGTTGTTCTTTTTAAATCTTTTTGATGATTGAGAAAACCCAATTCTTAATCTTTATTTCAATAGTTAAAAATGGAATCTTCTTGGGAGAAATTTAAACTTTGCATAAAAGTGCAAATTGAGGGGTTCTTTCCTAAGGATATGAAAGGAGAATATGATTTTACGAAATGGCTTTCTCCTCCCCTAATGCAATTTGTCTTCACGAAGGAGCTTACACTTCTACAGAGCGTTCTGCAGATGCGTGGTTATGTTTTGGAATACGATGGAGTACAGATCGACGTGATGCATGTGTCCAGAAAAAAACTGATAACCCTACAGTGGGTGTCAAATGATGTATGTAATGTGATGTCAGGGTTCATCACCAGGTACGACGCACGACCAATTTTATTGCCGGTAGATTTGGGTAAAATCAAATTTAAGAAACTGCCCTTGGAGGATGTCTTAGTTACCCGGCACAAGTCGAGGAGCTGTTACTGGCTGAGTGGAGTAGGGGAGGACGTTGACAAGGCATACAGCATTGTACAAAGTCACCATCCCTCTCTCTGGACTTTACCTGGTGGAGTATCATTCAAGGTTTGTCTGTTTCTCTTTTTATCTTTTTTTGAGCAGAATGTCAATATACATGGAACTATTTTTTTCAATAATATGAAAAGCTATTACCGGGATGCTGACCTTTAAATTAATACTGAATGGAGGTAAGTACTAAATTTAAAATGTGATATTTTCAAATCATTCCCATCTATAACCATGTATATTTATCAGATTGAAAATGACTGGAAAGACATCGAAATATCAATAACGTTAGAGGACATGCTTCAGCCGTGTCGGCTTTTGATTGAACCGTCTCCATTCATTTCCCGTCCAAAACTCCATTTTGCTGATACAAGGCAACCCATTTACAAAGCTCTGAAGTCCGGTGAAGACCAATCTTCACCAGAAAAAGTAGATCAACTGGAATCACTCATTGTTGAAACAATCAACTCTTTAGTTGAGGTCACATCAAAGTTCGATGCGAGGGCTCTAAAAGTTACCAGTCGTGCATATGATACAGAGTTTAGACGTCCTAAGTCGTATGGCAACGTTAGCTGTTACTGGGAAGAAGATTATTCAGTTGTCTGGGTAACAGGAACAAAAATTGACGTCACCTCCGGCTTTGAAAATATTCAACTTTATATAGAAAATGGCACAAAACTTCCAGAACCAAAAATAATAGACAACACAAAGGAAGTGAATGAGGAACAAATAGACGAGGAAAAGGTTTGTAAAAATGGTTTTTCTCCACTGGAAATAAAAACTTTATTAAAAATATATGTACATTATATTTAATTTAAATCTAACATTTTATGTAGACAGAGAATGTGGAGGAAGTCAACATAATCGAAATGAAATCAGCTGAGGGCATCACCATTAAAATATATTATGGAGATATCACAAAGTTATCAGTAGACTGTATAGTAAATGCCGCGAACGAACACCTCGCACATGCTGGAGGGGTAGCAAGAGCCATAGCAAAGGCAGCTGGGTCAGAATTTGAGAAGGAAAGTAAGGACTATGTGAAGACGCATGGTCCCCTGTCGGTCGGAAGCTGCTGTGTGACGTCAGCGGGTAGACTTTCCTACAAACACGTTATCCACACGGTTGGCCCAACGTGGAGCGACTATAAAGATAAGGAGAAAAAGTATTGCTTAGGCGATCTGCAGGAGGCGGTAGAAGTCACCTTTAGAAGGGCCGACAAATTAAAGCTTACATCAATCGCTATCCCAGCGATCAGTTCTGGTACACCTTTATATCAAACTATTTAGACTTTTCATGTATTTCTCAGATTTTATACCAATGAACTTCATATATTTGTATTATGCAGGAATATTTGGTGTACCCAAGGAAAGTTGCGCTGAACAATATTGCAAGGCAGTCGAATCCTTTGGTAAACAGTTTCCAGAAACAAGTCTTCAAGAAATTCATTTTGTTGATATAGATAGTCAAATGGTAAGTCTCATTGGAACTGTCTTTGAAAAACACTTCGGCACAAAGTCGCTAACAAGAACAATATCCCTACCTGTCCATCAGAAGTCCAGTAATGACCGAGGCAGAGAGGGGCGAAGCAGAAGCCAGAGTCCTCGAGATAAAGAAGAGAAGAGCGTTGTGTTTGATATTACAGACACAACGAGTCTATCTATAAAGGTCGGAGACATCGCCTCCTATCAAGGCTCAGCCATTGTATGTCCACAGGACAAGAAATGCAACTCTAGAGGACAAATTGCAAGAGCCATTACCGAGAAACTGGAAAATATGGAGTTGGACATGCCAAGCATTCAAACTAAAGAAGAACAAACTCATGGTAAAGTTATTCCAGTGAAAGGAAAGCTCTCTGTCCCTTGGGAGTATATTTTCCATGCTGTATGCCCAAGAAAAAGTAAGGAAGAACCGCTACGTCAGTTTGAACAGAACCTGAAAGAGACCATCAGGAATGTGTTCGAAGAAGCTAAAAAACACAGTTTACAAAGCCTAGTGTGTCCTCTCCTTGGAGCAGGTGAGAATTCTATAATATTTTCAAATATCAGTCTGAATATAAGTCTGAATATAAAAACCATACACATTAAGGTGGCCTTCTACCAGTGCAACTAGTTTTGTTCGATCATTTTTTCTTTCTAGCACAGTAGCTAGATATCATTTATGCAATTATCGCACAATGTGCCAATAAACTCGGGAAACTAGCGAGCTAATGATTTGAATATTATTCTTATTTTTGACACGTTTTCCATTAAAATGCATTCTTTCTAATGTAAAAAACATATTTTTAGGTTTTTCGACTTTAGACGGTCTTAATGAAACTTGTTCTAAATGTCTTGTTGACGTCGTCAAGGATTTGAAGAAAGGGGTCTGTCCCCTTAAGAACATATGCGTTGTTGTTTCATCTTTACCAATACTAAACACTCTAAAAAGTGCGCTCATTGATGCAGGTTTCTCATGCAAAACTTCGTCTAAATCTGACAGTTGGAAATATTCCCACGATGCAAGACCAAAACCTAGATCTAGCTGCTGCACGACGACAAAAGCGGGATATCGTTGTTGTCAGTTTCAGCGAAAAGGTTCTCCCGTGAAAAAACCAAAATTCAAAACGGCTGAAAAGTGTGACATATGCGCAGAGAGAGTATATAATCCTAAAACACTTGACAAGTGTGGCCACGTGTTTTGCTGTAGGTGTATCGATCGCCATTTATTATATCACCCAGACTGCCCAACTTGTGGGAAGAAATATGAAATGGTAAAAAGAGGTCAGCCCTTTGGAATAATGGATATCACCACAAATCAGAATAAGTTAGCTGGTTATGAACAATCAGACGGAACAATCGTCATTACTTATACATTCAAAGAGGGGTATCAAACAGTATGTAATTTCTGACACTTTATTTTATCATTATTCATAGCTTAAATTTATAAACTTTCGTTAAATTTTGAAATGGTGTACTTTTTGTAAACTACAATGAATATCGAGTTTCATCTTTTTTATCTTAATCTTTTAGTATGTATTAGATTTCGTGTACGTAGGAAAGAAATGAAAACTCCTCTCCGATGCGCTTGCCCCAAACACTTCATACATGTATGTCTCACTGATTATTTATTTTTCGTTACAGTCTTTACATCCATCCCCTGGGAACAAATACGCTGGAATCATCCGTAAAGCATACATCCCGTACACCGCCAAGGGACAACTAGTGACGCGTCTCCTGAATGTGGCCTTCAGCAGACAGCTTCTGTTTACGGTGGCTTCCTCCTCCACCAAGTCTACTGAAGGAATCATCGTGTGGAATGGGGTTCACCACAAAACTAGCGTAAACGGAGGAGAGCAGAGGTAGGTCTTCAAGTACTTATTATCTAAGGTATCCTTAATCTGACTTAAATGTCTGATAAAGATTTAAAAGTAAAGGATGTTCTTTTGAATCTATGCACAAAAACTATTATTCTAACACTAATTAGTGAACATATTTATATCTTTATAAGATTTAGAAAGGAGAATGTGAGATATTGGAGCGATCTAGACAAAAAATTCAAACGTATAGGAGTTTTGCAATAATTGTTAGCATGGTATAGCTGTAATTACCAAGATAGGTACACCATTTCACAATGGTAAGTTTGGTTGTTTTAGTTATGGTTATCCGGACAGCTCTTACTTGGATCGTGTTCTGGACGAGTTGTACGCCAAGGGTGTGACCCCGGACAACAGCAAGCAGCGGACCGAGTACCAGGAATTCTCACGCTGTTTTAAAGACTAGCAAGACTAATTGTATTCCATATTTTTTCATAGAGATTTCATTATCTAACTGTGTCTAATGTTTCTTATATGTAGAAGTGCGACCATTTTTATGTTTTATTATAAAGTTTGAATTGTATACAACCGTTTTATCCTCCTAATATCATCCCGAAGAGATATTACGTTTGGAACTTTCCAAATTCTTAGACCATAATATTGTAAGTTAGAAATAAAATTTCTCCATTTCTTAAAGCCTCGTATAAAATATATAAACTGTAAACAGTGAAATTTTCGTTCCCGGTTTATTTTCGCTCCTTTTTTCTCATTGAAATCAGGCAAATTTTAAACGGGCAAACACGGCATGGTCTTTCAAACAGAACTGTGTTTGCGCGAATTCAAGACAGTGCAAAATAATGTGCAGGTGTCAAAAGACGAAAATAACCCCGTATACAGAAGTTTATCCTTGAACTATTGCTCAACATTACTTGGACAATTTGTGTATAACAGATCAAATTTTGCCGTTTCAACTTCAAACTTTTCTAGGACAACAGGGCTAAATGCAAATAAATTATTCTTGGCACAAACATCCTTAATTTCTCCCAATAAATGCCTATATTTTGTCATATGATTCTAAAATATCTTTTAATTTTTTTTTTACATTCACATTTGTTGTTTGTGAGTTTCCAGGTTTTCTCTGTTACTACTGAAAAATGCGATTTTTTTAATCTTGATATCATGATCGTTTTTGTTAATAGTGAAAGATCTTGTTTTTTTTTTACTTTGTCAAATTTAATCAGTCATGTACATGTATTTCATTATTTCCTTATTATAAGCTATATTTATAATTGTGAATCTATAAATAAAAATTAAAACTTCCTTATAATAAAAAGAATAATAAAACTAAGTACTAATAGTACTTTTAGACTTATAGTACTAATAGACTTTTAAATATATGGAAATAAGGAACAGAATCAATCTCAAAAGTGCATTATATATAAACAAAACTGGAGCAGAGCAAACACGGACCTCCAAGTAATCGGAGGAGGGATCAGGTGTCATAGACGAGTGAGCATCCGCTGGACCCATCAATTGTTTCTTCTGAAATAACGGGAAATTCTGTTGACAATTCAGTGTGTGAACAATGACCTAATAATAAGTATGAAAAGCATCAGTCAGCGTTTGATTCAATGAAAAACTCGGTCACTGTATCGACCATTTAGCTATATATTAAATTTTATTACAATTCAGAGGAATGACAAACGTACAATTATAAAATGATCAGTTTTATATGTTCTGGCATTCATGGTAATGATCCAATGTGAAATTTTAAAAATACAAAAAAATCATATGTAGACATTAAATTGTTCATCTGTTAAATGTATTCATTGCTCTGAAATCTATTACAAAATAACATATGCACAGATATTATACTACCCTTTTTCTATCAAAACATTCACATGAAAGTTGATGAATACTTTAAACTTCAAAAGCCCGAAATGTTAAAAATTGTCTTCATCACAGACTACCTACTGAGTATTTCTATATATCTTTCTTATTGAAAACAATTAAAATGTCCTCAAAAGTAATGATTTTTTGTTTTCTTTCATCATTTGAAGCTAACAGAAAGAACAAAAGTTTTTTCAATGAAACATATGGTGATAACGAACGGTATTCAAGATAATAAAATCCATAATTATTAAATTATGCACTGAAGCAAATAAAAAATGCCAATATGGATATAAAGATTTGACTGCTTATTCATGTGTATACATATTTGAAGATTCTTTAAATCTAACTCTACTAAACCTTTTGACTTCAAAATCGACTTCAAAATCTCCTTAAGGCTATAGGGAATTGTCATGTAGAATTTTATTGCAAAGTGTAAAGGCCTCTCGAGATATCGCTTGGAAACGAAAGTGTTCCATACAGAAATACAGCCGAACGTAGGGACGGACAGAAGGGCGGGGGCATAGGGAGTTATCATCATGGTTTAAAAATTAATTGCAAAAACTCAAAATCTTCTTGAAATATCGCCCGGAAATGAAAATTTAACACATAAAACGACCTTGACTTCTGAGCTTTTGACCTCCAGTTTAATGGGGTCTTCTTTAAGCCAGTGATTTATGGTTTGAAATATTGCAAAAGCTCAAAGGTTTCAAGAGATATCGTGCGAAAACGTAAGCGTTTAAACAGACAGCCTTTTAAAAATTTATTACCTTGACCTTTTTACATCAAAATCAATAGGGATCTTCCTTAGGTCATAGGGACTTATAGTGTGTAAAATTTCATTGCAATCGAAATATTGCATGGAAACGAAAACATTACACACAGAACTACACAGATCGACGGACAGACACTGGCAAACAGATGGACAGACAGAACAAAATTAATATCCCCCACTTTCAGCGGGAAACAAGAAGGACCACAGCTTTACCTGAGCACGCTGACCAGAAAAAAAGCAGAAATCAGTTTAGCATTGAAAAGTTTAAGGGGAATGGAAAAATTCAAATTAACACTACCTTTGAGTCCTCTCATATCAAAATTACTAATCATGGGTTTGTTGTTCTTGAGCAAAGTGATTTTAAAGAATTTTTTTCTTTTGTATTCCTAAGTAATACTTATGATCGCTCATTGTGAACCTACTTTGAATTTGAATACATTTTGGTCTACCGTGGAATCATTTTAATTCGTTGGAGTCTATGTTCGTAAGCAGGAAACAGAGGATGCTCATTCCTCTACGGCATCAGATTCCATTTCTCATATTGTAGAGTTTCCTGTTTGCTCTGCTTTCGACACTTTTGATCTCAAATACTTTTTGTTAACCCCACAATTGTTCTTTTTTTTTTTTAAACATTTTAATAACCCAGTATACTTCTTTTAATTGTTCTTTGTTAAAATTTATGTCAATGTTTTGCTTTCGGAAGACAGAATAATAAAACAAAGAGAACTAGATCTTCATGGACAAAATAGGGACACAGCGGAGTTAGTACATTTCGAACTTACTACCGGTCAACTGATAGCAGATACATTTTTCTAAACAATATTTAAAAAAAATCTTTTGAAATCTTCTCTAGAATAGGTGGAGCGTTGTATATAATTTATGAAAGCATCTTAAACAAACAGATTCAATTTTCTTAAGAAAAAAAAATGAATCCAAGTTGGACTAGCAAGTAAAAGTTTGAAAAGTGGGTTTATGTTTTAAACTAGACCTTGTTCTGAGAAGTTTTTAACATTTTATATGGAAATACATGTACACATAGATATCTTAAGGGAAGATCGGGGAAAGTGCAATGTAGTTGCATTGAAAATTAATAACGAAAATATTAATACAAAGAATTCAAAGTATGAATTATTTGTACGGAGAATATGGTGAACAAGATATTTTTCTTTCAAAATGCAGAGATATAAAAAATGAAATATTTCTGAAGAACAGGAGTCAATACGTTTCATGGCAGTGCATTATAAGGTGGAATAAATCTTTCAAACTAAATGTTCTGGTCATTACATGTATGTCGAAGATGTGAGTTGAGGCCTGTGGGCCTTTGTTTTTAATAATAGCTATTGTTGAAGCTCATGTTCGATTTTGTCAGGGAATGAGAAAAAACATAAGGCAATTTCGTTTACATTATTAATTTTGAATTGGTAATAATAATCCGTACTTTTTTATTAAAACTTCGTTATATTCATTATCGGGAATATATTTTTTTTAAACATTTCGTTTTCATTATTTCCCCGGACGGTAAGTCGATCAAACCTCAATATGAGTTTCATTCTATTATTACATAGATGCGATGCGCAATTAAAATCTGAGTCTAAATCTTAAATGTTTTCTAAGACCAAGACAGCATTTTAATTTTGTTACAAAATATTTTTTGGATTATGTGTGCAAAAACGTCGTCATGAAAGTGTGAGATCGAATGCATGCACATTACTTTTTATTAACTTTTTATGCCACCGTACACGATGGTACGGGGTATATAGTTTTTGCCTTACCGTCCGTTCGTCTGTCTATCTGTCTGTTAGTTTGACCTATTTTTACAAAACAAATACTACACTTTGACCTTGGCCATAACTTTTAAACAGTTTCAGCTAGGGCTTTCATATTTCACATGTATTCATGGTGACAAGACCTTTCAGTGGCTATGAATATTTTTGATCTTGCCCTTAAAGTTTATCTCAATTTTTAAGAGCTTTTATCTTGGCCATTACTTTCGAACAGCTAGAATGAAGGCTTTCATTTTTCACAGGTGTGTTCCTTGTAACAAGACCAACCTTTTGAGTCCAAACAATTTTGGTGTTTTACAGGCATTTGAGAAATTTCAACCCTCGCCATAAGCTGCCATGCAGGAACACCAGTGTTTCACAAACACATCTTGTTCTTCCTTCAAGAAACTGAGTTTATACGGTTACAATGTGTGACCCATCTGCAGTTCCGATAGAAACTCAAGTTTCGACCAACTTAAGTCCGAAAGTGCCATTGTTTAAGCATCCTCATAAAATCAATTGTGACTAACACGGTCTTTATCGATTCTCAATAAGAGTAGTAAAAATTCTAAGGTTAAAATGTATCCTTTACTTGGATGTTTTAGAGGTCTGTGTTTACTCTGCTCCTATATTTTGAATTGGTTTATGGATTTTTGATCTTGAATACTGGTCGTTATATCTACATGTTTCATGCAAACATTACACAACTGAAAATTTTTATTTTAAAATAAATAAGTTTAAAAAAATTCTTCATTCTTTAAGAATAACAAAAATATTTTTAACAAAACATTAATACGAGGTGTTTACAAAAATCATTTTGCTTCCAATCCTTATTATTCAATCAGATTCTTACAATGCATGGATTTTAACACTAGTAACAAATATAAAGCTGAAACAAGATATGACATATTTGCATCTTTAAGGATGCTTAACAGCAAACCATACGATAAAGTGTTCCTTCGATTATTCTGGTCTTATAATGTTGTTGGCCATTCATTGTACAAAATCTTTCTTATTATTACATTAGAAATATATATATATATATATATATATATATATATATATATATATATATATATATATATATATATATATATATATATATATATATAGGTTTTATCTTAACTGTTTACTAAAAAGCCAGAAAAATTACAATACACTCATTGCTATATTGTTTTGTAAACATATAAACTGTATGTTAGTAGTCAGGAAAAAGGCAAGTGTGATATAAGCAATGCATATTCAGATGATCATAAAAAATGAGTGCATTTTCATTTCGAAGCATTTTTAAAGTCTTTAAAAGCATTCTGAATTTCAGCTATCATTGTTGAATCTCTGTCAACAAAATGAATTTCTTGCAGACTTTGACGAGGGTATGAAGCAGCAAACTCACAAACTGCCTTGTAATAACATTCTGCACATTTCTCTCTGGGAACACCGAAAATACCTGGAATTATCAAAGCAAACTATATATCGTGATTTATTATTTGTACCAATTTGTTGGTGTGTGTGATGATGACATTACTGAGATATTATTCTACGGATATTTTAAATAATCATAATTAAAAGTTCCTTTAATGAAATACCTGAACTGATCGCCGGCAATGCAATAGACTTCATAGCAAGTTTATCGGCCTCTCTAAAACTGACTTCTACAGCCTCCTGGAGGCCAGCAAGGCAGAGAGCCTTCTCGTCTGATTGGTAATCATGCCATCTTGGACCAACCGTATGTATGACACATTTGTATGGAAGTTTACCGGCGGTTGTTACGCAGCACTTTCCAACAGCCAAAGGGCCATTCTTTTTAACATAATCAGAACTTTCCTGATCAAATTCATAGCCAGCAGCCTCTGAAATTGCAGATGCTACTCCACCTCCATGCATTAAATTTTCATTCGCAGAATTCACTATACATTCTACTTTTGCTCTCATGATGCTTTCAGTATATATCTTCACCGACAAGCCTTTCAGGTTTGGAGAGATATCAGCTTCCGGATTTACAGAGAGCTTTACGTCAAGATCCGCCCCATCTATTGTGTGTCGCCGTTGTAAGACTCTTTTCACGGCTAAAACATAAATGTATCAAAATCTGTTTTACTTCTGGCTAGGAACAAGTTCATTGAGATATATTAGGAATTAAATTATTTACATGACTTCCAAATAGTTTCTTTCATGTTTCGGACTGAATGTAGTTTGATAAGGAAATCATTGATCTACGAAAAGCAAACTTAGAACTCTCATTTGAGAGTGCGGATAAAACATAAAAATTGCTCTTTTACTTTTTAAATTAATGATTCAAACGTATTATCAGTAAAGGTTAAAAAAGATATTCTTTGTTAGGCTAGTTTCTATGTATGTCTTTGAAGGTCGAATATTTTGTTAATTTGTATTAATTTATAACATCAAATTGAATAATGATTTATCATGCTTATTGAAGCATAATTATTTAAATATCTAAAATCTTTTTGCAATTGATGCACAACCATTGATATTGTTTCATTTGAATAAACATGTTAAACTCTAAAACTAATTAAGTGCTGAGATGTTAATCATTACCTTCTTCGTTATTAAAAGAGACATAAAATATTTTGTTGTCTTTGTCCATCATAACATTTGTAACACCACCCCCTCCTGATCTCCGTGCGTTGTCAAAATAAAATTCAAGTGTGTCAACAGTTGTCCTTCTACTTGCACCATACACGATAATTGTATGCGTCGACTTCATCTTTGTAGACCTCTGTGTTTGTTCAGACTCTGTCGCAAACAATACAAACTCAGTAAAAAGGAAAAAAGTAAATGAATTAATTGACATATGATTTTTAAAAATTACATAGAAATTGCAAATAAGTTTATTAATTTCGTATCTCTCTACCTCCTATTCCATTTCTAAACACATGTTGTATGCATTTTATTAAGTCCGTATTTAGGTCGATGAAATGTATTTCTTTTAATTCAGTTTGATATCCGTAATGTGCACTGAATTCTAAAACAGCTGACAAGTATTCCTCCGCACAAATATCTGTTGGAATTCCGAATTTTCCTGGAAATAAAACACAAAAATGTATATACAAGTACTATGTTGAAAGTTTTGCATTGTCATAAACATTTAATTAAGAGTTTTGTATAAAACTCTTTACCTGTACTGACTGGCGGGAAAGCAATTGACTTTACATGTCTATATGTAGCTTCTTGCAGACATCCATAAATTGACTGTCTCAGAATTTCTCGACATTTTTCTTTGAATCTGAAATCACCCCACCGTGGACCAGCTGTGTGAATTACAAACTTGTAACGACTTAGTTTACCTGATATTGTAGTGCAACATGCACCTGTTTTCAGAGGTCCATTTTTCTTTACATAGGATTCACATTCTCTGTCAAAATCAAGTCCTGCGGCATTTGATATCATTAAAGATACGCCAGCACCATGCATTAGGTTTTCATTACCAGCGTTTACAATACAATCCACTTCCAATGTTACAATGTTAGCACAGTACACTTTCAAAATGATTCCCTCGTTAGTAGTCAGTTCTAAGTCGCCTACATGTATGTCTTCATAATTTTGAAATCGGTTATGCCTGTGAGTTGGTTTGCCAACATGTGATTCGGATTTGTGTACAAGTTCCTTTATTGCAGATATTTGTTTCAGTTTTTCTTTAAAGTATTCTCTATCCCCCGCAAGGGTCGTTTTAATGAGCACTTTATCTTTATTCCACACTGGCTGAAGGGCAATCCATTTTTCCTCCTTACCAAACCATTGTGACATTGCTCGAAAGGAGTCCTCCGTGATTCCATTAATTTCTGTGGTTGTGTCGATATTCAGTTTGGAAGGCAGTGGAGATGGAAAACCACATTTACTGGTCTTACTGCCTAAAATTCAAAAGAGTAAATTTGAATAATTAACAAAGAAAAAAGACGATACAATTTTTACAAAAGTTTTTTTGCTCTCGTTAGTATGAAGGTCTATTTAAACTATTCTACTTGAAAGAGTTCACCCTCTACCAAAACTACCTTTGCGCATGATTCCCCTGAGAATCCATCTCTATATATTTAATTCGAGTGCATGTCAATGTAAAAAATTATACCCCATGTCTTTTCCTCACTATGACAGACTGTGGGTTTTCGATGTGAAGAGGTGAGGGATGAGAATGGCCTCCACACTGAGAACAATGAATCTGAGATGTACATTTCTTACACTTTTGTTCATCAAAATTACAGCTTAAATTTAAATCTCTTGCAAAAACGTTTTCATTCCTCAAATTACGTCTCTGAAACTCCGACAATCATTCAGGCAGACTAATTTTGTGAAGGGGACACAAAGGATCCGAATCCTTTGCCCCTCTAGTTTTTTTGCGGCAATCTATTATTTCACCAGATTGTTTCTCAGACTAACTTTTTCTATAACTGGGTATGAATTTGTTACATTCTCCGTGGTGTGCATGAATTCAGTGTCGTTTCTGTTTCATGAATGAAACGAAACATGAGAATGGAGGAAAAAGAACGGAATCAGTTGTCAAATTCTTTTGCATGTTGTGTGAAAGCTTACGAGAGTTGTTCGAATATTATTGAGACAGTGTGTATATCTTTCTTTCTAATTAACGTCTTTCATTGAAAATTTGCATACTCGTGTGACAAATACTACGAATCAATAAAAGCAAAAAATATTTAACAGATATTTAATTTCCGCTCTTAAATTGTATATTACATGTAAATGTGTCAATGGTAGGGGTATAAGACGCAATTACGAAGTCAGATATTGAAAATATACAACACCAACGTTCAAACTCCCGTTAGACCATAACAAGAGCAAAATAATTCAATTTATATAATACTTTTTTTTATCTCGGAATATTCTCATCCCGTAAAGTGTAAGAATTGCTGCCATCCGGCACGACGTGTGCCGACGTAAGAGAACCGACACCTGGATCGGCGTGCTGTATAAATCTCTAACGTGGTGTTTCATGCAATGAAAACACTTTGTTTCTTTTCCAATAATAAAGCTTTTTGAATCCAATGTTTTTGGATATGTCAATGAGTAAAAAAAGTTTTTTGTCAAGGAAAATTTGTATTCTCTGTGATCCGAGCTTATAACTATTAGCTCGTCTTGTTTTATGGTACAAGTTGTACTAAAAAAAGTAAATAAGTATTGATTTTATTTTTCTTAGAAATATTCACCATTAATGTTGAATATTTTCAGAAAAACTTTTTGAGCCTAAATCAAGAGATTTTAAACATGGTCTAAAATATTCTTTGAAGAATTTAATCGGCTTACTTTTACCAATTGCAATTAATCTCGGACATTTTTACTTATTGTTTGCAAATGTGTTATACTGCATACCATTCGATGGAATCAATGTTGCATTTTCTATCTCCTGGTCTTCCTAAAATAGACAAAACCATGTGCAGTTTTTCATGTGAATATTTTTCAATTTTTTTTTTTTTAAAATAATGACATCTTAATTCTGTGATGTTGGTAAAAAAGGTCTTAAACTTATCACTTGCAAATAAAAACAAACACCAGAATTCCAAAATTTAAAAAAACAAGCAAATTCAAAGAATTGTGGTCCCCCGCTTTCGGTGTCTTTTTGGGTGAGATGTCATTTTCTTAATGACATTTTGTGTCTAATATGAAAGCCCTATCATAAGTCATCTATTTAGAAATTATCACTGAACTCCAAGGTCAAGGTCAAAGGGTTAACGTTCTTGGTATCCAATGAAAAGTCTTCTCAAAAGGATTACATATGTGAAGTAAGAAAGCCCTAATCCTTACCATTCAAAAGTTATAGTCAAGGTTAAAGTTTTCTCATAAGTACAAAAAATCTCCAAGGTCAAGGTCAAAAGGTCAAGATTGTTAGTATTAAATGAAAGGTCTTGCCACGAAGAATACATATGTGAAATATGAAAGTCATGGTATCTACTGTTCAAAAGTTGTGGCCAAGGTCAAAGTTTTTGAAAATTAGGTCAAACTCCAAGGTCAAGGTCCAAGGGGCAAAGTTTCTGATATTGAATAAAAGGTCTTCTCAAAAGAATTATATAAATGAAGAATGAACCTATCCCTTACCATTCAAAAGCTAGGATCAAAGTTAAGATTTTTTAATAAGTACGGAAATCTCCAAGGTCAAGTTTAAAAGGTCAAACTTGATGGTATCCAATAAAAGGTCTTGCTACAAAGAATACATATGTGAAATATGAAAGTCCTCGTACCTACTATTCAAAAGTTATGGCCATAGTAAAAGTCTGGAATTTTTGTGTAAAAGTGGGTCAAACTCCAAGGTCAAGGTCAAAAGGTGAAATTTGGTGGTACCTAAAGAAAGGTTTTGTCACAAGGAATACACATATGAAATATGAAAGTCATAGCTCCACTAAATCAAAAGTTATGGGCAAGGTTAAAGTTTTTGTGACGGACGGACAGACGAATGAGATTTAATGTCCCCTCGCTTTCACGAAAGCGGGGGACAAAAATCAAACAAATGATCGCCTCAACGAATACGATAGGCAAGCAAATGTAACATCAATTTTTTGACAGGTTTTTGTGCATCCTAAGTTTAACATCAATGCAAGATTGATTTAAGTAGGATTTACATATGTAGTAATTTGGAAATGAACCCGCTCCAAAAACTCGAACCTGTTTAGTTATCCGTAAGATGTAGATCGGATCCAACGTCATAGGTATGTCTGGTTATACATTCCTTCATCATCCATTTAAGTTTTTTTTTTATTTTTACCTCCCAAATAATTATAATACTCTAGTCGGTCATTCAAAATATAGGTCACATGTCCTATCCAACATTCAAAGCAAATTGTTTTAGTTTGGTTCAGGAAGGGCAAATATTCACTCATGCATCTGGGAAATATAAGTGACCAAAGCACACAACGAATATATGGTATCCATAGATGCACCACTTATGCTAGTTTTGTTCAGGAAAGTTATAAACTTACTTATGTGTGGACAACTTTCAAAGTCTTTCAACTCCTCACATCTAGATCTATAACAGCATCGACCATCAGTTTGGATTAGATGAGATTAAAAGATTGGGAAAGGACATACCCTAAAAATTTTATTCTTGTGATTTATCAGGAAAAATTAGTCAGATCCAGCATCTTGAGAAAATTTGGAAGTGTTTATTACAAGATGCATTATCCATGCAAGTTTGGCCAAGGTAGGTTTTATTGTTCCTTGGGATTGAATTTGCTCCAAAACTCTAACCTGGTTACTTATCTGGAAAATGTAGATCAGACCCAGAATCTGAAGCTAGTCTGAAGTAGTGTCTATATCCCTAGATGCATCATCAATACAAGTTTGGTCCAGGTAGGCTTATAGTTACTTTCAAATGACTTATCCCAAAACTTTTACAAGAACTCTAAACAAATGCAAAGAAATAGTAAAACAATCCCGACTTCGTCGAAGATTTATATAATTTTGCATGTATGATAATTATGTAAAATATATTTTACACATACTGTTCATCATATTACCTGTTCTTCCTTTTTAATGACTGGCGCTTGAGCACATTCAAAATTAAACTTTGATTCCTGGATAACTTTCATGACTTTTTCAAATCCAAACTGAAATTTGTCTTTTGTAGAAGATACCCAGAGGATATTTCCATCTTCATCCCATACAATTGACAGGTCTTCTAATCCCGTCAGCTTTGTTTTCACGTCTTGCTGAATTTCTGTTGGCACCTGCAGAGATCTGCAGATATATCTACTGGTGAAAGAGATAAATGAATTCAAAACAGAGAGACAAGTTATTTCAAGCTCTCCAATTGTTGGTTGATCTAACTGTCCCTTCATTTTATTAGTATCCTTCATCGATGACTGCACAACGTCGGCCGATAATGTCCATAACAGAGGTCTGCGGTGACAAACATATGGCAGTACATTGATTGTCAGAGAAGACATTTTGGCAATATGACTTTTTACCTCTGTAGATACGACTATGTAAACGTTCTTTTCATCTTCATTGTAAAGCTAAAAAGGTAAAAAATTATATTATAAAACTGATGACGAGAAAGATTTTTTTGACAAATTTCCTACATTAAAAGAATGTTCCGAGGCAGTATTTGAAATGAAAAACAACAAATCCCCTGGACTCGATGGCTTACCGGTTGAGTTTTACAAAATGTTTTGGAAACATTTAAAACAATATATGTATGATGCGCTTATTAATTCTTACGAAGAACAAGAATTAACAAATACACAAAAATGTTCCGTTTTGTCTTTAATTCACAAGAAAGGTGATCTAGATAAACCTCAAAATTACTGTCCCATAAGTTTAACAAATTGCGACTACAAAATTATAGCCTGTGTCTTTTCTCGGCGTTTAAAAAAAATTATAAATAAATTAATTAACCCGGATCAGTCTGGGTATATAAAAGGACGATATATAGGCAGTAATGCTAGGCTTATTTTAGATATCTTTGAATACTGGGAAAGAAACGATGAATCGGGTATACTATTATTTGCTGACTTTCAGAAAGCGTTTGACTCAGTTGAGTGGGAATTTCTGATTCAATCAATGAAGAAGTTCAACTTCGGCGACAACTTTGTCAGATGGATCATAATCTTATATACAAACCCTTATTTTCACATAAAAAATAATGGCTGGATTTCTAGAAAATGTCACATGAATAGAGGCATCCGACAGGGGTGTCCTGTCTCAGCTTTATTATTTCTATTCGTAATGGAAATTTTATCTACAAAGGTAAATAAATCAGATAATGTTCAAGGTTTTAAAATATGTAATACGCAAAAGGAAATAAAATGCATACAGCATGCGGATGATAGTACTTTTCCAGTCAAAGATGAAGAATCTCTTAAACACGTAATTAAAATCATTGAAGATTTCGGGTCGATATCAGGTACAAAGTTGAATCTATCAAAAACAGAATGTATTCTATTGGGAGAACTTAAACAGGACATGGAAGGGGAGACATCTCTACATGGTGTCAGAATTAACTCTAAAACAATAAAATGCCTCGGCATATACATCGGGCATGACGAAGCAGAAAGAAATGAGAAAAACTGGCTATGCAAATTAAGAGAATTTGAAAAAATACTTGACTCTTGGCGAAGCAGAAAATTAACTATTTTTGGAAAATGTCAGACTATAAATTCTCTATTAATCTCAAAAATATTATACACTGCTTCAATATTAGAGAACCCAGAGCAATCTTTCATCAAAAGTCTAAACAAAATAATATTCTCCTTCATTTGGGGTAACCGTGAAAGAATTAAACGCAACACCTTATAAAGAAGCATAAACGAAGGCGGAATCGGTATCACTGACTTTGAGTCTAAAGTCAAAGCTATTAAAGCCTCATGGGTTACAAAGATTACGAAAGATAAAAGCAGTCTACTCTCTCTCGTAAATGCTGTTTTGTACAAAAATAATATATAGATTTTGCGTTTTTAACAAATTCAAGCGTAACAAATTACAATGATCTCTTACTAAACTCCCTTCCTGAGTTTTATAAAGAGGTTGTCTTGGCTTTTAATGAATGTAAGGATAATACTCTTACAAATCTTGCAAATCAGAATATTTGTCTTAATAAAAACATTTGCTTTAAAGGTAAACCACTATTCTTTCCGAATTGGACCAAAGGGGGTCTCTTGTTAGTAAAAGACCTTTTTAATGACAATGGTTTCAAAACTGTAAATGAAATTAAAGAAAAATTAGCATCCACTAATAATTTCCTTTGCGGATATCTAATTGTAAAGACCGCCTTAAAGAAACACTATTCACGCATAAACATGCAAACTATAAACTTTGTAAACATAAACGCTAATCAACAATTCTATTTTGACGGAAAATTTGAAGATATTTCTAATAAAAAATCTTGTTTTTTCTACAACATTTTAATAAAAAAGAAATCACACAAGCCAATCATGGAAAATATCTGGTGTAGAGAATTCCAAATAGATAAGAGTCATTTTGATACTATATATGAAAATAAAGTTCGCTCATTATTTGATAAATCTGTATCAGAATTTAGTTATAAGCTACTACATAATCTGTTGACTACAAATCTATCCGTTAGTAAGTGGGATAAAAACAACAGTGGCAACTGTGATTTCTGCGATACACAAGAAAATATCAAACATTTGATTTTCGAATGTTACTTGATAAAGCCAATCTGGAGTAAAATTTCTCAACTAATAAAGATAGATATAACATGGAAAATGATTGTTATAGGCTTTATTATTTTCAACAACAAATACACTTTTATTTTAGATAATACATTGTCATTCTTGGCGTGTAAGATTTACAAATATAAAATGAAATGTAGAATTGTTAAAGACCAGATTACATATGAAGGAGTGTGTCGCTTTTTAAAAAACGCGCTGATGCAATTGTATTTTACTATTAAAAAGACAAAATGTATAAATTCAGATTTTAAAATTCTTGAACTTTTGTCACAAAACTTAAAATAATTATGTATATTAATTGTATCAATTATATATGTACTAGAGGGTGAGCTGGCCCTCTGCATGTACATCCATGTGGCAGGACAAAACGGACTGTGAAGGTGAACTGTAAAAGCAAGTCCTGCCGCATGATATTCTGTCAACTATTCTGTTTGTAAAAATTATATATATTCTACTATAACCTTATACTGGTTTAATAAACATGATGTCACTGCTGCATATTTTTGAAGCAGCTAATTATCGTCTATTGAATTGTATAATCATGATACCAATTATATTTATAATAGTCACTTTCTACTAAAATCATACACTATATTGTATAAGTTTATGATATATTTATTTAACAAAATTATTCTTGATTTACCTTTTATACATGTATAAAATTTGTTACCGATCCAGGGAGCCTCTGGCACCCCAGGTGAGGTGTATGATGAGGGCCTCTGCGGAGGTGATGCCTCAAATATGAAACTATGTATGTATTTGAAATAAAAATCTTTTATTCAAAAAAAAAAAAAAAAAAAAATTATATTATTCTTTTTATAAATTAAAGACAGACTGCTTTCACATACAAGAAAGCAAGATAGTTCATATACCATGATTAAAAGATAAATTTTTCTAATTAACTTTGTATTGCAGTACTTAATACAATTTTGAATACGTAAAATAGCTGTATTGCAGAATTATGATGCGTGCATAAGTCTAGTATTACCCATCAGATCATTTTAAAACTTTTCTTTCCACTGTATATTACAGACTTACATGCACAATCACATCTTTTAAACTTTACGGAAGTAAATCATAATTATGTAAATTTTGTTTTAATATGCGCAATTACTCCAAACACATATATATAATGTTACTTCTTATCAGATTTTCATTTTGAAGTGAAAGGAACATTTATTTATTTTTTTATTCACAAGGCAATTTAAAAGGCGCTTATAAGATATACAAACGCCAACTTTTAAAATCTAAAAATGGGCGTTTTTTCTTTAATAGTTACACGCTATAAAGCAATTTTATTCTGATATTTGTTGTACTATGTAATACATTGTTTTACTGGCGCTCATCGACATATTTTACGGACATCACCATAGTGTATTTCTACTGGAGTAAGAACTCTGGGGCATCCGTTTTGGAGTTTATTTGCAAACTTTATAGATTTAAATAAAGTTAGTATTTTTTCCTAATTATGTAATAAACATGTCATACTCTTTTCATATTACACCCTGTACCAACCCTCGACAATACAAATATCTGTCGTCGGGCCTGTAAAGTTCTGAAAGGATTGTATTACATCCTGTAGATAGATTATACACTTTTATATTTCATTTACAAAATCCATACCATACAACTTACGGATATGTCCGCATTTTGTGGATATGTCCATAAACCCTCATTCTTCTTTTGCATTTCTTTGTATACGTTTTCCACATGGATATATTCCCCGTATATAAATAAAAGATTCTTCTTTTCATTCCATGTATAAATAAGTTGGCTTGAAGACAAGGTGTCATCAATTGACGAAAAATCCATGTCAGGTGGAAAAACAATTGTTCTGACGTCATAATCAATAGTAAAATGAGAAATAACATCACATAATTCATCACCACATTCTTCAAGATTTTCCACGGAGTTTTTATCAGAAGTATGACAAATTTCTATTGGATGCTTATTTTCCTCTAGAGAATAACCTCTGCTTTGCAAATGGTCTTTAAATTTGCAGCAGTCTTTTGTCAAAATATACTGCATAATTTGAGGTGAAATGGAATGGGTAAAATCAAATACTCCTGTGATGTCTCTTACTCGTCTTCTGGTACTTTGGTGCTTTGTCATGATGCGGAGACTAACTTTAAAATCTTTCCAAAGGTCTTCTGTTGCCATCTTTAATCCTGTGGCTAAAATAAAAAAAAATCCTAAAATTCTATGACGTAACAGAACGAAAACTAGGTGTGAGTTTAGATAACAATCATAGTCTTTATCTGTGCTTTACATATAGTGTTAAATAAAATTAAATAAATAGCTTAGTCTAGATCCAGCCAGTATTTTTATCAAATGCATCATCAAAATACCAAAGATACGTGATTTTCTGACTAAATCAAGATAAACCTGTAAAAACAAGATAGAGCTCCTTGCTTTTTTCCAAAGCACACTAAAGGGGGTGAGAATAAAAATAGTGCCTCGGGACATCAACTACTTTATTTAGATAAGTAAACGACCAAAACAGTTACAAAATAATAACGCACCGTCATACTAGGAAAAGATGATGAGGATAAATACTTTGACAGAGACTGAAAGAAAGATCGTATTTTGACAGATATGCTAGAAGAAAGACGTTTTTGTGATATGTCATTTAATAGCACTGCCAATAAGACAAGCAAGAAATGTTATTGCAGCAAGTAACGGAGTTTATATATCTCAATTGATTCGATACGCAAGAGCATGCTCTACGTATGAACAATTTCTAAAACGAGGTAAATTATTGACAAGCAAGTTGATGAAACAAGAATATCAGCAGCCTCGTTTAAAGTCACCATTTCTTAAGGTTTCGTCAAAGGTCAACATGTCTAAAATATAATTTTCACAATAGCTCCAAAACTATGTGTGGAATAAAGTCAAAACGTATACAGTTTATAAATATATCAATGATTAATTGATAGAAAGTATCACTTGATAACAAATATTTTTAAAAAGATATTTTTTGTGAAAAATTATATCAGAAAATGTGCATATTTAAAAAAAGGCACATGCTTAATTCTGTCCTTTATGTGAAAACCAACATTGTAGAACTAATATATGTTTATCATTGAAGGGCAAGTTGGATGTGAATGGTCTCTGAAAGTCTGTTATTGAAAGCATGACATGTATAAAGAAACGACTCCTATAGAATCCGCCATTTGCAATGTACTTTCACTTTCAAGTCTTAACATTTGGACAAAATAAACAGGGAAAAAAGCTTTCCAGAGGCTATCCAAGTCTAACTTGCCCTTCATTGATAAACATATTTTGTTTCTGCAATAATGGTTTTCACTAAGAGCGCTGAATTAATTAGGTGTATTTTTTGAAAATATATACATTTTTAAGAAGAACTTTTCTCAATATTTTTCCAAGTATTTTTTTTTTATCTACTGATACTTTCTATCTGTTAATCAATGAAAACTTTATAAACTGTAAAAGTTTTAACTTTATACCTCACATAGATTTGGGGCGTTTGTAAAAATAAATTTTTGGACATGTTGACCTTTGAACGAAACCTTAAGTTCTTTGGGTGATACAATCAGCAAAAACAATTTATCAGTGAGTCAGATGCTGACTGACATTTTTCATAATAATTGTCAGTCCATTATTTATACACTAAACTGACGACGGATTTTTTCATTATTTCCCGATCATGACAAGGAGCACACGGCGGGTGTGACCGGTCGGCAGGGGATGCTCACTCTTCCATGGCACCTGATCCCACCTCAAATGTTTAAGAGGCCCGTGTTTGCTGTGCTCATGTTTTGTATTGTTTTATGGACTTTGATACTGAATAATGTTCGTTATCTCGATATCCTTCATTCTAAACAAATATGCATAAAACAAAAAAAAAAAATCAGAGCATCACTCTAAGTTCAAACAATACTAAAGAAAAATAAAGTAAATTATTACATTGCAAGCAAGATAAATATAGACAAAAATGCAGAAACCGACATAAACCTTGTATTATACAACCAGAAACCCATTTTAGAATTGTACAACACCCAAATCTTAAAATAATCAACACAGACATTGATTTAAGAATCTTACGTTCCAAATAAAACCCAATTTAGAAAGACAGTTTATCTTCAACAAGCTAGCTAGATAGAATAAGATACCTATGTAAAAGACAAAATATAAGGCATAAGATATCACAAACAAGTTGTAGCAATTAAACACTCCCTTTGTCACACACGAAAAACAAGTGTTAGAATTGGATTAACATACTTACAGAATCAAACCAAAATCAATCGCAGAATACAGTAAGATGGATATCAACAGAGAGACAAAAGACAGAAAGACTACAAGAAACTTGGAGACAACCTCTTGACACACGAAAAAGGGGTCAAGTAAAGGGATTTGAAAGAGGACAATTAAGTTTCTAACGAAACCTTTGTTAGCTTAGTAGGCAGATGGACTAAATAATTAAATTTATGTTGTTTTACTTTCCATTTAAGATTTTTTTCTCTCATTTATAGAGGTCACCATACACCGGCGAAGATCTTCAAATTTAGGCTTAAACTCGGCATTAAGGGTCATTAAGCAGCGAGAGTGCCTCATCTTGCCAACGTCTACCGTGACGCAGGACTTCGGTATTTAGGCCCCTTATATCATAAACTTATCTAACAATAAACCTTTATCACCTAAAATTTATGTTTCCCATTTGGAGTGATACGCAAGAACATGCTCTACATACGAACAATTTCTAAAACGAGACAAACTTAAAGTTGATAATACAAGAAAATCAACAGTCTCGTCATTTTGCAACTTCTATGGTCGACACAATGACATTATAAGCAATAACAGTGTATCGTTTAGTCGAATGCTGAATGATTTTTTTTCATTATAATGGGTCAATTTTTTTTACACTCAGAATTGTCTACGAATTTTCCGTTTTCCTGATCATGTCAAGGAGCAAATGGCGGGTGTGACTGGTCATCGGGAGTGCTTCCTCCTACATGACACTTGATCCAACCTTTGATGTTTTTAGAGGGTCCGTGTTGCTCTGTTCCACCGATCTGAATTGTTTCAAAAACCTTTTGTGTATGATTACTATTTGTTATATTTATATTTCAAATTGACAAAAAAAAACGTCATAATAACGACGATAGTGCATACGATATGCTGACTTTAAACCAGGTAGCTAAAATCCATACAACATCAACTTATCTATCAGCAATGTCTGCCTCGGATTAGAAATTGATAGCATGAAGAACATGCTCGAGCATGGAATAAATTGGTAAACATAAACATCACATGCAGGTGATAGCAGAATACAACTAACTAAGGATATGGAAAAGCTAAGTTATCTTGTTTGTCAAAGAGTTGTTTGTTGGCAATTATCATCTATATTCAGAAAAAAAAAACACAGATGTATAGATTCGGCGGTGTCTCTTATTTCGAAAACACTGGATAATTGTAAATAAATAGTGTTAAAACCTAATGAATATACGTATATGTGAATGTCGAGGTTTATCAAGTGCTTTCTTCTCATGTAGAAGTTTAAAAAATTGTTAGCCTAAGTTTAAAGTAATATAAGAACATATCACATAATAAGGAAACAGAATTAGTGTTGGTCTTCAAAGACTACAAAGAAGTTCTCAATGAGGAACTACAGCATCATTTAAATATCAACTTAATTGTATTTCTGATGGATCAGAGTGATTCTAAACGAAAAAAAATTTGCTGATGAACAGTCACAAGATGTGAACATTTCCGACACTTAACTTGCCGTAATGACCTTGCACTAAGCTTATGAAGTACTCTTATGCATTAAAAGAAAGAAATACCTGTACTAAGGAGGAGATTAATATTCCATTAATTCTACATAACAAAGATAAAGCCTTTTGATGCCAGTAACCTTAAGATTGCCGGAATGAGCTTGAGTTAAGATTATTAATTACCCTTGTGTTAAAAGTAATACCAAGTATGAACTTCCATTGAATCCCAGTAGCAGTAGAAAAAATTTTCCGGACAAATGGTGAACTGCATGTCTAAAATCTTGTTAAACAAGATAATTCAAAGAATTCTTGTCTCCAGTTTTCGTATGTTATACCCCATTCATACGACGAAAATTTGCTCCTGTGTGCAATTTTACATACAAGTAAATCTACACACGTAAGTTAAAGTTAATTTGCTATGCGTTCAGACGTACTATTAGTAAAACCTCATATTTTCATATAAAATAAGGAGATGGACAGAACTGAGAATTTTTATAGAAAAGGGATATTTTCTTATTGTTTGGGTATAAGACTAACTTTTGGATGTTCCTCAAATAAACTGGGGCGTAGGGGGAGGGAGTCCGATCCACCGATTTATTGGTACGAAAAAAAAACTTTTAAATGACTTTAAGGACAAAGAATGGCATACGAATTTACGCACGAAGAAGGAAAATTTAATAATTTTGTTGTTGTTTAATGTTGGAAAATGTTTTGCACTGGTCCTAAAGACTGTAGAAGAGCTGTTGGGTGTAAAGAAAAAGGTGACTATTACCATCTACTTGTTTACGTCCTCAACAGAAATAGGACGATTGGAATCTTTTTGGTGTTGGGAAATATACAGTACATCACGTGTGTGAGGCCATTATAAAATATCTGCTTGAATACGATAATTATATTTTTTCCAGGAGAATGAAAAGGATGACGACAACTAACAGTGATCGATCTCAATAACCTTTGAACAACACAAATATATGGAAATCAACAACTTGAATAGTAAGGACATACTTATTTATCCTACAGGGCATTTAATTGTTTTCGACCACAGCTACATATCTCTAAAAACAAAGGTCTGCCAGAAATTAAGGATGCAAGATGCCCTCGTTTTTGCAAATTCGAACATTGATAATGGCTCCTTGTTTAGAGTTTTGCCTTCTAGCCACCATGTTTACCGACTGATATTTACTCGCCAATGGATACACAACCGAAACAACACTTATGATGGTAATTTATGCAATAAAGAAAACAAAATGTATACGTAATATGTTAATTTGCTGCGAGTTCATACAACAAAATTTACACACATGAGCTGTTAATTTGCTTCAAAGTGTATGCAAAAATTAATTTACACCTAGTCCTGACCAGGTGTAATTTTTTTTACGCAGGATTTGCGTATGAGTAAATCAGTTCATACAACAAAAATTGCTTATGTAAGTAAATTTACTTATGTGTAAAATATACTGAGGTATGCAAATCATGTCGTATGAATGGGGTATAATAGTCACCGGGATGCAATTACTTGTGGTGTATTGTAAATCTATTTTTTGTTTGTTTATCTTTGTTTATTTATCTTGTTTTCTCTGTTCATCATACAAAAAAAAACCTTTATAATAAATAATTAAATTTATGTTGTTTTACTTTCCATTTAAGATTTTTTTCTCTCATTTATAGAGGTCACCATACACCGGCGAAGATCTTCAAATTTAGGCTTAAACTCGGCATTAAGGGTCATTAAGCAGCGAGAGTGCCTCATCTTGCCAACGTCTACCGTGACGCAGGACTTCGGTATTGAGGCCCCTTATATCATAAACTTATCTAAGAATAAACCTTTATCACCTAAAATTTATGTTTCCCATTTGGAGTGATACGCAAGAACATGCTCTACATACGAACAATTTCTAAAACGAGACAAACTTAAAGTTGATAATACAAGAAAATCAACAGTCTCGTCATTTTGCAACTTCTATGGTCGACACAATGACATTACAAGCAATAACAGTGTATCGTTTAGTCGAATGCTGAATGATTTTTTTTCATTATAATGGGTCAATTTTTTTACACTCAGAATTGTCTACGAATTTTCCGTTTTCCTGATCATGTCAAGGAGCAAATGGCGGGTGTGACCGGTCATCGGGAGTGCTTCCTCCTACATGACACTTGATCCAACCTTTGATGTTTTTAGAGGGTCCGTGTTGCTCTGTTCCACCGATCTGAATTGTTTCAAAAACCTTTTGTGTATGATTACTATTTGTTATATTTATATTTCGAATTGACAAAAAACGTCATAATAACGACGATAGTGCATACGATATGCTGACTTTAAACCAGGTAGCTAAAATCCATACATCAACTTACCTATCAGCAATGTCTGCCTCGGATTAGAAATTGATAGCATGAAGAACATGCTCGAGCATGGAATAAATTGGTAAACATAAACATCACATGCAGGTGATAGCAGAATACAACTAACTAAGGATATGGAAAAGCTAAGTTATCTTGTTTGTCAAAGAGTTGTTTGTTGGCAATTATCATCTATATTCAGAAAAAAAACACAGATGTATAGATTCGGCGGTGTCTCTTATTTCGAAAACACTGGATAATTGTAAATAAATAGTGTTAAAACCTAATGAATATACGTATATGTGAATGTCGAGGTTTATCAAGTGCTTTCTTCTCATGTAGAAGTTTAAAAAATTGTTAGCCTAAGTTTAAAGTAATATAAGAACATATCACATAATAAGGAAACAGAATTAGTGTTGGTCTTCAAAGACTACAAAGAAGTTCTCAATGAGGAACTACAGCATCATTTATATATCAACTTAATTGTATTTCTGATGGATCGGAGTGATTCTAAACGAAAAAAAATTTGCTGATGAACAGTCACAAGATGTGAACATTTCCGACACTTAACTTGCCGTAATGACCTTGCACTAAGCTTATGAAGTACTCTTATGCATTAAAAGAAAGAAATACCTGTACTAAGGAGGAGATTAATATTCCATTAATTCTACATAACAAAGATAAAGCCTTTTGATGCCAGTAACCTTAAGATTGCCGGAATGAGCTTGAGTTACGATTATTAATTACCCTTGTGTTAAAAGTAATACCAAGTATGAACTTCCATTGAATCCCAGTAGCAGTAGAAAAATTTTTCCGGACAAATGGTGTACTGCATGTCTAAAATCTTGTTAAACAAGATAATTCAAAGAATTCTTGTCTCCAGTTTTCGTATGTTATACCCCATTCATACGACGAAAATTTGCTCCTGTGTGCAATTTTACATATAAGTAAATCTACACACGTAAGTTAAAGTTAATTTGCTATGCGTTCAGACGTACTATTAGTAAAACCTCATATTTTCATATAAAATAAGGAGATGGACAGAACTGAGAATTTTTATAGAAAAGGGATATTTTCTTATTGTTTGGGTATAAGACTAACTTTTGGATGTTCCTCAAATAAACTGGGGTGTAGGGGGAGGGAGTCCGATCCACCGATTTATTGGTACGAAAAAAACTTTTGAATGACTTTAAGGACAAAGAATGGCATACGAATTTACGCACGAAGAAGGAAAATTTAATAATTTTGTTGTTGTTTAATGTTGGAAAATGTTTTTGCACTGGCCCTAAAGACTGTAGAAGAGCTGTTGGGTGTAAAGAAAAAGGTGACTATTACCATCTACTTGTTTACGTCCTCAGCAGAAATAGGACGATTGGAATCTTTTTGGTGTTGGGAAATATACAGTACATCACGTGTGTGAGGCCATTATAAAATATCTGCTTGAATATGATAATTATATTTTTTCCAGGAGAATGAAAAGGATGACGACAACTAACAGTGATCGATCTCAATAACCTTTGAACAACACAAATATATGGAAATCAACAACTTGAATAGTAAGGACATACTTATTTATCCTACAGGGCATTTAATTGTTTTCGACCACAGCTACATATCTCTAAAAACAAAGGTCTGCCAGAAATTAAGGATGCAAGATGCCCTCGTTTTTGCAAATTCGAACATTGATAATGGCTCCTTGTTTAGAGTTTTGCCTTCTTGCCACCATGTTTACCGACTGATATTTACACGCCAATGGATACACAACCGAAACAACACTTATAATGGTAATTTATGCAATAAAGAAAACAAAATGTATACATAATATGTTAATTTGCTGTGAGTTCATACAACAAAATTTACACACATGAGCTGTTAATTTGCTTCAAAGTGTATGCAAAAATTAATTTACACCTAGTCCTGACCAGGTGTAATTTTTTTTTACGCAGGATTTGCGTATGAGTAAATCAGTTCATACAACAAAAATTGCTTATGTAAGTAAATTTACTTATGTGTAAAATATACTGAGGTATGCAAATCATGTCGTATGAATGGGGTATAATAGTCACCGGGATGCAATTACTTGTGGTGTATTGTAAATCTATTTTTTGTTTGTTTATCTTTGTTTATTTATCTTGTTTTCTCTGTTCATCATACAAAAAAGATATAAAATATCGAATTAATAAAAGGTATAGCAAATATTCTGAAAGGTGTTGTCACAGATAATTTTAAACATGAAGTCCCATACATGTATGTTCTGTATTTCATAATTTCAATTTACCTAAAGTAAAAGATACGCACCATTATTTTTTTCTCTTGTCCCAATTATACTAAGGCCAGGAAAGAATTTTTCAACAAGTGTTTGAGATTTTATAGGGTTCACATTGTTGACACCCATACTTTACTGTGGGGCGATACTTCACTAAGTGTTGCTGAAAATGAATATCTTTTTTCCATTGTACACTCATATATTCAGCAGTCTGACAGATTTAAATGATATATTGTAATTGTTTGTGTATAGCATTTGTACTTCACAAATTTTCTTGCAGTGACTTTACATTTTTTTCTAAAACTGTACGTGTAACACATGTAACATAAATTTTATAAACTTTTCATGTAGGGAGAGGGCAAAATAAGTTTTAAGAACTTGTGCCCAATCCCTTTGTATATATATTACAATAAAATATGTTCAGTACACCTGATGTGTGCATGTGTGCGATGTGTTTGATAGAGGTGTGTGATAGAGAGAGAGAGAGAGGTTTGGTGGATGAGGGTGTATGGATGGGTGTGGACACAAACACTACCAAGCTAAACTTATAATTCAGAACTTTTAACAGTCTCAATGGTATGTCTGTATTAATTGTCTTGGTGTGTACTTTAGAAAATGATATGCATTTTGGTAACCTTTACATCACTATCTTTAAAACCAGTACCCTAGTAAATATTTCAAAATATTACCTGACATATATAATAAGGTTCCTGAGATTTCAAAAGTTAAGTTGATCGCTGAAATATTTCGACGTATAGATGTTCATGTATTACATAAATTTTTACCTGAAAGACCTTTTAAAACGAAAGTAGATATTTCCGGTTTGTAAAAACCCGCATTCCCTTTACTAAAGTCAACAGAAGCGTGCATCTTCCCCTCACTTCAAATTTATGAATGTCACGATGTAACTTTAGTTCTTTACCATGTTTATGAGAAGTTTTACAGTTTATATACAGTTTCCGTTGTCATTCAACTTTTAATAAGTAAACAATATTCCCTTTACCTTTTAAATTTGAATCCACCCATTTCATCGATAAAGGCTTGTGCGGTTAATAAGCATTCTAGGGAGTCTCAGAATTGAGTCAAAATTGCATTCATTTATAAAATCTTATTTGACACTTGATGTTAAAGATTAACAATTTAACGGAAAGGAAATAAATTTGGAAAACACTTCCCAATAAAAGTGTTTTCATTATTAAAATAATGAAAAACATCATAGAAAACACCATAGTTAACATCATAGTAAACATGCCTTACAGATATCGTAGATTTAAGGTTTTTGATCAAATCTTGATTTCAAATTAACTAGCAGAACCTTTGTCTAATAAATTCGAAGCGTAACCGCCTTTCAAGCCGATTTACACCTTGCGTAATTTTATCAAATTCCACGACAAATGTCATATATTATGTGAAATATTTAAATTCGAATATATTCAATTATCCGTCTCAATTATAAATATAAGTAATAAATTATAAGTTAAAAAAACATCAATGGGTATTGAAGTGGGTCGGTACGGCCTTCAACGGATTTGGTCACGTAACCGACCCACTTCAATTCCCATCGAAGTTTTTTTAACTTGTTATTTATTTCTTAAGAAAACATTGTAAACATGGATTTAAACAGCATAGCTGAGGAAACTTTGGCGGTTTTAGTCACTGTTAGATGTTTCATTTACTTTTTCTACCAGGTATATTAGGCATATAAAAGGTCAGAGATTTTTTTTGTAAAGAGAAGGAAAATCGAGAGTTTTAAATTTTGTTATCAATGAACTGCAGGGTTCTTCTGGGGTCAACTTTCATCAACTGATCTCTTTTCAACAAGTTATATAGAATTTTGTTTATTTTCATTTAATTTGACTTATTTAGCAAAACAATGATAGCTTAATAATTCACATTTTTTCTAAAACGAAATCAAAGAAAAGGCCAAATGTTTCGTTAAAATATCCATATATTGTTAAATTAAAAACTGAATGAAATATACTATGTATTGCAATTAACTATTTAGCAATTTAAAATTAAAGGATTTGGTCTTTCACAGGGAGAAAGGGGGTTGTTTAAAGACCAAAGTAATGCAAAAATGCTCGCTTTTGATCAATTAAGATGACAATAAAATTATAATGTGATGATGATAATTATTAATTTCAATTTAAAAAATAATTTTGATCTAGCACTAGGGTTTCATATAAAAGGATAAATTGCCTTTTCCTATAAAATGAAATATATGGAGATAACACGAGCAATATTCAACATCAAAAGCCCTTTAAACAGTACAAACTAGGAGCAGAGCAAACACGGACCTCCAAAACATCGGAGGTGGAATCAGGTGCCATGGAGGAGTGAGCATCCCTTGCCGACCGGTCTCATCCGCCATGAGCTCCTTGTCAAGATCGGGAAATAACGGGAAAAAATCCGTCGTCAATTTACTGTAAAAATAATGCAATAACAATTAGTATGAAAAACGTCAGTCAGCATTTGACTCAATGATAAATTGCATTTGCGGACAAGGTTATTGTTTCGACCATAGAACTTACGAAATAATGACTTTACTCGAGACAGCTGAAAGTTTGTCAATTTGTTTGTCTATAATATACTTTGTTTTAGAAATTGTTCACACGTAGAGCATGCTCTTGCGTATCGATTCAATTGAGATATGTACACTCCGTATGCAGGCGATTAAGGTATATTGCTGCATAAGTAAGGGAAGTTGACGATAGAAAAGTTAAAGTCCTCATGTTCATCATAGAGCTTGGTTGTTAAATTTTCATTAACGTCTTTTTTAAGTTAATTATCCAAATATGAAACAGAAGTCAGACCCTGTGGTATCTTTTATCTAAAGCTCACCAAGAAATATCGTATCGGCATAGAATGGAAATAACTATTGTTGATTGTTTATTGACTATACATCGTCGATATATCTAAATGTCGCATAAGATTTTGCACAAATTCTGCTTTATATGAATACAAAACTAGGTCTGCTAGTAACGGGGTGCAATTGGTACCCATGGGAATATTTATAGATTGTTGGAAGACCTGGTCTCCAAAAACGACAAAAATACTGTCAATCAGAAACTCGGGCATATTTTTATGTCAACTTCAGAGTACTTGTACGTACAATCAAAATGTTTTTTATAAAAATGATTTTCGGAATGACCAATGACAAGGTTAGTAAATTTATGAGTTCCATTTTTATTGAAAAAGCAGCTGTCAATGATATCAAAAGGCCTGGACTTTAATTTCTCGTGGGGAATGGTTGTGTAAAAAGTTGAAATGCCGTAAGTTTTTAAGTTGTTGATTTTTGTGAAGTCTTGTGATTTCAAATTGTTCAAAGTTCCTTGGAATTTTTAAGTATCCACATCTGACTTACCTCACTTCCTGAAAATATTGTTCCACAGTACTCTTAAAGTTTCTCCTTCACTACTGTTACTATCTTAGTGAGGAGTACAGAAACAGAAAGAGGCCTGGTTGAACATTTACCGGAACCCGCAATGTATCTTTGTTTGTAAGTATTCTTATGAAGTTTTGGTATCCAATATACGAAATAATTGTTGCATTTACTTGTAGAAATATATATGGTAGTTCAAATTCATTTTGGTTTTTTTCATTTTTTCAGTTCAAATTCATTTTGGATATTAAAAATATTCAAAACTGACATGTGATTTTGAAGATGTTCAACTGTAGAGAGGGAACTGTGAGTATCATCAAGTATTATTTAGTTGGATAACCACTTGCAGAATTTAATCCAAGTGCTATACAATTTATATAATAAGCCTCAGAAATGAAGACAATGTTGTTACCTGCTTTGTCGGCAGGGACCAGTACGTAATGATCATGTAATCTATCTAATTCTTTTTTCACTTCTGGTTTATTGAACACAGAAGGATAGATGGTTTTCATTTTGCCCCTCAGTCTTCTAATACGCGACTTTAACATAGATCTAATACATTTTATCCATTCTGACAACGTGTCAACGTCTTCTTTTTCATATCTGGCCCATCGTATGGCGTAATTTTCAACAGAATCTGTGATATTTATGAAATTCCGACGCCAGTTGAAGGATCGGGGTTCCATATATTTAGGACCTTTTAAAATAAGTGATCTAAGGTCCTCATTATTAACTATATTTACGTCACCTGTAATAGCAGGACTATAGTTTTAGGGCGAAGAAGAACATGAACACGATCGAGGATTATGTTTCAGTATCCAGGTAATGTAAAGTTTTTTTGTAATTGAAAAGTTTGGAAGCAATAGTCGATGTACAATTGTAGGAAATACAAGGTGTAGTCTTTAACTTGAAATATGGTGGAATACAAAACTGGACCCTTTTGTGATTAAGAATATTACTTATATTAACCGCGTCAATTCCTTTATTGGCATATTGAAGTTTAAGGAAAAGACGGATTGTTTTAGCTGCATTTTCTTCCGTAAAACGTGCGGGTTTAAAAAGCCTATGATATGCAATATCAATAATCACAGTTCCGAGCCTTTATTCTGATGACGAGGAATCAAAAATTGGACTTTCCTTAGCATTTACAAGAAGACTATTTACAGGTCAACAAACTTTTCCAGCTCACATAGTTTTTCGCACAAATTAAGGTCACATGATTATTATACCTAAAGAGTCCATAATTGTTTTATTATATAGTCGGGATTTGAATGAATAAGACATTGAAGGCTGTATGACGACACCATTTTCATTTGCGATATTCCATTGTTGAAAATAAAAAGATTCTCCATATTACTGTTTGTAACCTCCGTGTTTTCCTTTCCGAGTTTCACAATGTGTAAGACGTCCAAATGTTAAAAAATAATTCTGAAAAAGGTTTGAATAATTGTTTTTCTGCTCAGATACGTAGTGTCTTCCCACAAATTTTTATTTAAATAGAAAATTTGGTGTTATGACTATTTTGACAGATACATTTTATATAAAGCAATATTGTAATAGTCACCTCATTATGTATTTGTATAGTTTATAGTTATATGTTTCAGTGTAATAAACGGGTTTAGCGACAGTCTCAAATAAATGTAGTGTTCTTAGAAATGTAATTTGAAATTTAGCGCCATTATATTCATTGTGCGCTCTTTAATATAAGGAGGTAAAAATGTTATTTGTTTATATCGAAAAGCGCTGGAAAAGTAAAATGACTTTAGAGATAAAATTGTAAGTACACAAGCTTTTGATTGTTATGATGATGGGAAGTTTCTAGTATGCCGGTCCCCAGAATCACGCGATTGCGCATGAGCAGTTATTTCCCTTTGCCGTTGCTATGCAGAATGTAAACAAACCGCAATTTCCCACTCGCTTCAAGAAAACGCATCCGATCGAGTGATTAGGGTTAGGGGGAAGTTTCTAGTATGCCGGTCCCCAGAATCACGCGATTGCGCATGAGCAGTTATTTCCCTTGCCGTTGCTATGCAGAATGTAAACAAACCGCAATTTCCCACTCGCTTCAACAAAACGCATCCGATCGAGTGATTAGGGTTAGGTTATATAGTTTTTAAAATTGGGTTGTTTTAGAAATCCACTCTGTAATCTTTCTGACTTTGGGCTAATTTATGTAATTTTTGCTTTATACAAAAGGCACTATGAGTGCCTTTTGTGACCAAAAACTTGCATGAATCAGCCTGTCGAATCGTGCCGATATCTTACACTTTGGTTTAGTTCATGAAATTTTTGCTTTACAAAGGAAAGTTTAAGAAATGAAAGTTTGGGTAAATCAACTCTATTGTTGAAACATGACGATTTTCAGCGCTGAGTTTAGGCAAGTTATTGTAAAAGCGACTTACCGTTAACTGCAGCTCGATATCCTGACCTCCTAATCATGTCCAAATATTCAGAATTCCTTTCAAATCGATAATGATGCACAATTCAATCCATCGATGACTAGTAATTAGCTAACATTTGTTAGATCCCTGTATTTCTTACAAAAATCACGCAATTTTAATAGCATTGCACTTTGAGTCCTATCAGGCATTTCTTCATTACGTCAAAACACAAGTGACGCATCTCATGAATATTTATGAGATTACGTCAAAAATTGATCATGTGACTACATTCCTAAACAACGCAAGATGGAGATTTACTTCCTAAACAAGTACGTTATTTTACGAAATCTTTTAATTCTCATTTAAAAAACTGTGTTTAAAAACCAGTTTTTTAAACCCAATTTTTCACAAGGAACACGAATTTGGGGTCAAATTTGCAATTTGTGGCTTCTTTTTCAATTTTGTCGATCGCTCACGCGATCGTCTATATATTGTACACCGCCTTCGGCGGCACCTATTTTAGCGCCATATTTATGGGGACCGGTATACTAGAAGTGTTCCTTATTTATGTAATTTTTGCTTACAAAAGGCACTACTTTGAGTGCCTTTTGTGACCAAAAACTTGCATGAATCAGCCTGTCGAATCGTGTCGATATCTTACACTTTGGTTTAGTTCATGAAATTTTTGCTTTACAAAGAACAGGATTCCAAATTTTATAAATGAAAGTTTGGGTAAATCAACTCAAATATCGAAACATGACGATTTTCAGCGCTGAGTTTAGGCAAGTTATTGTAAAAGCGACTTACCGTTAACTGCAGGCAGTGCAGCTCGATATCCTGACCTCCTAATGTCCAAATATTCAGAATATTTTTCCTTTCAAATCGATGATGATGCACAATTCAATCCATCGATGACTAGTAATTAGCTAACATTTGTTAAATCCCTGTATTTCTCACAAAAATCTCGCAATTTTAATATCATTGCACTTTGAGTCTTATCGGGCATTTCTTCATTACGTCAAAACACAAGTGACGCATTTCATGAATATTTATGAGATTACGTCAAAAATTGATCATGTGACCACATTCCTAAACAACGCAAGATGGAGTTTTACTTCCTAAACAAGTAGGTTATTTTACGAAATCTTTTAATTCTCATTTAAAAAACTGTGTTTAAAAACCAGTTTTTTTAACCCAATTTTTCACAAGGAACACGAATTTGGAGTCAAATTTGCAATTTGTGGCTTCTTTTTCGATTTCGTCGATCGCTCACGCGATCCTCTATATATTGTACACCGCCTTCGGCGGCACCTATTTTAGCGCCATATTTACAGGGACCGGTATACTAGAAGTGTTCCTTTATATTTAAATGATTTTAGTTCGGACTAGTTTCCACTTCAATGACCTATGATTAAATTTAAAAGAAAAGTGTAAAATAGATAATGCTTTATTTCCAAATTTTCTCTGTTTTTAGTAATATTAATGCCACGAGGCTGTCTGCTGTAACATTTGTAGTTTAGATTTATATAATATCTATGCAGGTTTAGATTTTCATTTTACAGAGGGATTTTTCCTAATTTGTTTAATCCTCTGTACAGTCACCAGGATTAACTTTAAAACGTATTTTTATAATATATAATAGAGGTAATAATTTGTAACTTTAAAGTATAGATTTTGCAAACAGATTCATAAAAGTTAGAGGAATCCCACCATAAACTGTATGTGATACTGTACAATTTTTAAACTCATGATGTAGTTCAACAAAATAAAGTGAATACATTCAGTACATGTACGGTAATACGAGGGGCGTTCAATAAATAATGTCATTGGGGCTCAGAAAGAAGCAGACGACGCTTTTCAATAATTTAGTCTTCATGATTTTACTTATTAATCTATTTTAATTCAAACACATGTCTGTAACATTTTAAATCCATTTTCCGATTGTTTTTAGAACTCATTTTTGGGTATGACCCTTAGTATACTGGAAAATGGCAGATCCAATGATTTCCTGGACTTCTTTTTTCCTTCTGAAAGGTGTTTTATTCAAGTTTGTAAATAGAAACAAGTCAAAAGGTCAAAGATCTGGCAAATATTGTTAATGTGAAAAACATTAACTTTCTCTTTATCCCGTAAACCCCTTTACTCTTTAGGGCATGCGGATTTAAACGCTGTCATGAAGAAATTCAATGTAGTGGATTCCTGATTCTGGGTCCTTTCTCTGATAGACCTTTCGATTTCTTTGCAAAAAAGCTGCTTTCTAGTCACCTCCAGATATTAAACTGTCTCCCCGAATACGAATTTGAACAATAATACCACTAATATTAAAGAAAATTGCATATAAATCTGTTTTTGTGCTCTTGCATACCTTTGTTCTTGACAGACCTTCGCCGTTTTTATCAAGTACATCTTATGGTAAATTTTGTTTTAATGGTTTTAAGCAATAGATTCATGTTCAAATATCTGTTTGAATATAAAACAAACGTGGATTATTACAATTACTGATATTTTAAAATAATTGTTATGACTTTTGTACACGCTGTCGTTTTCACTAATTTTTCAAAATACAGGGTGACCTTAGAGTACCAAGCTTAATTACTGTCAAACGTTTCTTAAAAACAGTGTAAACTACTCCCGATATGATGTCTATCAAATTTGTTATGTGTCTCAGAGTCAATCATACAACATCAAATATTATTTGTTGAAAGTTGGCAAACAGTACATAAGTTGTTATATTTTTTGTTGGCAAGGAGGGTACCCATTTTTGATGCCCATTATATAAATTTTTATCTTTGAAATCCACCTGCTAATTTGTCTTTAAAACAGGCATCGGTTGCTGTAAATGTCACATATTTCAGTGAATATTTCTTTGGGATTTTAACAAGTTTTACAGCAGCTTTAATGTTGCTTTTATTTTCACTCTTGTTTACTGATTCTTTACCATTCATTTATAATGCAGTGTCTCGAATAGCCCTTGTTTCCCAGCTTCTCACGATAAAACTATGTGATGAAAAGTGATCACATAAACTGTTATAAATTCATTAAAGATTCAATAATGAGAGAAAGTCAAGCTTTATGTCATATGACTACTATGTTGTATGTAATCGAGCTAATGACATTATTTATTGAACGCCCCTCGTAGGATAAACTTGCTATTTTGCTTTTTGTCTTATTGGCTAACAAAGATCAGTGTAAACATGTATGCATTTTTAATTGCCATCGTATGCAGCCAGTTGCGTCTTGTTCAAGGATCATGACAATTCCGTTGTTTTTATGTCAATACAACAAAGGTGTTCTTTCACAAGGATCTGCAGTAAGCAAAATTCACTCTGTATTTTCAGATTTTGAAGCACGTCTTATGGTGTGATATGTCCGTTCCTCTTTACCGTCTCCTTCTGGTAGTTCTTTTTCTGAAAAGAACAAAATATTTTAATACAATAACAATGAAAATACATGTTTTAATTCTTTCTTACACTACAAAAATAGTATGACTATGTCTATATGAATATAAGACACTTTTGAGATACCTTTTTTATATAATGTCATGAATTTTTAAAATTAAATGCATATAAAGTCAGCCTCATTAATCTGGGCACTTTTGCTCCCAAGGAAATTATTTGGATTAATGAATTGTCTTAATTAAACAAACTGGTATATAAGGATAAAGATCAAATACTTTAGTTTCTAAATGTAGGCCACACTCTAAGGCCAAGACCATGGGGTTAAAGGAAAAGAAATAAACATGAAATATAAAGACTCAGCACAAACTGTTCAAGAGTTAATACCAAAGGATCAAGTTTTTGTGGAAATAAAAAACTACATGTACCTGTCAGTGACACATCAATGCATATACAACTAGCAACCTAACTATTATATGTGGAATTAAAATACTTTTCTTTTTACATCTTATTCCATTTTTTTAATTCAGTTTTGTCCCTAATTACCTTATTGATATAAATCCAATATTCTTTTGTAACACTGCAGATGTCACATGATTAGCCAAGGATCCTATATTTCCATGGGATCTGTAACATGATGAAAATAAAATAAAGTAAATAGCTTGATCTATTTTTTTTTTAAATGTAGAATTTATTAACAATTTTGATTTATTTTGCAAATTTAGCTATGATAATGTGAAGAGGTCAATATTGTTAAAAAACCATGTCAATTACAAGTTTTTTAACAATACTGACTTCTTCATATTATCATATATACCAATTCTTTGGTGCTTTAGTTGAAACAATTTCATTCAAGTTAGAAAACATCTTTACATTTTACAATTGTATTGGTTATTCAGTTTTGAATTCAATTTACAACATGACTTTTTATATGTTTATACACAAATATTTAACCATACATGTATTTAAGTCAATAGAACACCTACATGTAAGTAGTGATGCAGGGATCCCCGGTTAGATTCTCAGACCAGCCATACATGTTCCTCGTTTCCTGACACACAAGTATGCCACTTTATGTTCAGTTTGCTGTAGCAGATCTGGCTTGAACTTTCCTGAAATATTAATTAATATGATCTTTGAGAAATTATTGACTTAAGAAAATGCTTCTATATGTATACAATAATACTGTATGTACATTATGGTGTTTAAATTAAAAATACAAGGAATAAAAATCATAAATTTAAATTTTTAATACATGTATTATAAAACACCTCCTTTTTACCACTCCCTTGAAAAAAATTTCTGGATTTTCCCTGATACATGTGCAAGTGTAAATTCAGGGACCTATATACTAAGTTAGTATATAGGTCCCTGGTAAATTGAAAGAAAAAATACAAACCAATGGCTATTTTGGAGTTAAAGCCAGCATTTTTTATTTTTAGGTTTACAAACCCGCCGCTCAAGTTTTTGAATTTTCAGAAAAAAAATAAAATTGAGAAAAACAGATTTTTTTCCTTCCGATGTCAAATTTGAGTGGGGATCGAGATTTCAAATTTACAAACTCGTACTTCCGGTTTTAGATGAACATGGCGGGTAATGAAGGTAGATTTGCAAAGTCCATAGCAGCACCAAAGCTTTGTTTAATGTTAATATTTAATAATTATTTATCTATAGGAGTGTCATTCAAAACTTTACACAAGTTCATAGGACAAATAAAATGCTGATGACTTTATTGCACAATGACATGCTGGTGAGATAATTATGTATCCGTATTCAAAAGTATCTGTAAATTATTTTCCTCCCACAGGTTTAAAACTGTCCATGGTAGCTTTTGTCAGAGACATTGTTTAAGTTTCTGTTATAGCTTACAGTCTTATAAGCATCATTCTTCAGAAAAGGGTGGCTTACATGTATGCATCAGATGTAATGAATAAAACTATGGGAGAAGTTAAGTCCATTTGAGGAAGAAATAAACAATAGCCTAAAGAAATAAAATACTTCAACTGTTAAAAACAAGTATTATACACAAATATATACAGGTATGTAGTATCGTTTGTGGCAGCCAGAAAAATTAATTTACACTTAATCCAAAAAATTTCACCCTACTCCCCAATACTCCTTGTCTGTTTTATGAAAGGAATTATTATTTTAGGTCTCAAGTATATTTTAGAACAATTTCTACACATTTACCAAAACATATTAAAAATAAAAATGAAGATATACTGAAAGAGTTTTGAAAAATTGATTTTTTTAAATATCTGTATTTTGTCCAACATAACAAAATATATATATCACTGACCCCAATTTGCAACTTGTAGATGATGAAATAAACAAAGGCTCTATTTTCCCCTTTATAATCCTTATGTGTCCAGTGGCATGGAGCCTGTTAAGAAAGCATAAAAAAAGAAAAAAAATTAATGTACAAAAGTCGATAACTTATCCAAAAAGAATAATTTTATTTTTTTTTTATTTCCTCCTCCTACGGGACTTTTTCATTCTGATGTTCGTAAACCTAAAAATAAAAAAATGCTGGCCTAATGTAAAAAGCACCCTTGGCATTCCTCTTTCCAGGTGACACTTGATTTGGTCACATTATTTCAGCAGAGAAAGCTGAATACACTGTCTAGTTCATAGCTTGCTTCACCTGTAGTATTAAATACAGTGTATTTCTTTTATAATCTATGAATATGATATCTGTTTATAATCAGGGCCCTTTTGAGCATAAAACAAATACATACATAAATTTATTACAGGTACATAAATATTGCATAAGGCTAAAAAATAGATTTGTTTCCTGCTACCTGACTGACCCTATTTTTTTGTCACTTGATCCTAAAGTTGTTTCTTTTTTTTTTTTCAATGCAACTTTTTACAATTTGCTCGTTATTTCAAAAAGACAAATTTTAAAGATTTGCAAGTAAATGTCCACTATCATTTATAAAAGGGGTTATAATAATTAAAAAGCATCTGCCATCCAAAGCAGAGAAAGTTTATACATTTCTGCATTTGAACAATTTAAGCGAAAAATGTTTTTCCATTTTTTGATCTGAATAACTAAACACCACCTCGTGTGTTAGGCACAGATAAGTATGATTACTTTCCATTTTTACCAATCCGGCCCTTATCATGTTCTGACACCAGAAATGTCCGGTTTTATTCTTCTATTCTAGAAGTTACAGTCTGGTCATGAAATAAGTTTTAATTTTTAGCTAAACAAAAATACTTTAGGAAGGGAAAAAAATCTATGAAGTTTATTGGTAATTGAAGCTAAATATACTGGTTGTACCAGACCTGTGCGTAAACAAACAAGCACCATAGTCATGATCGATATACTAAATCGTAAATATTCACCTTATGTATCTGACACGGACACAGCATACGAAAAATCTGTTCTCCAAAAATTTTACTTCTTCCGTCATACCAATTAACATCTGTAAGGTCATGGTCTTTAAAATGTCTATACAGAAAACAACATCAGGCACAGATCGATACCGGAGTACCCACGTGGTGCTGCAGCGGACACTGGACAAGGAGTAGTTTCACCAAAATTATGCTCATGCTCGGCTTCAGTCTCACTTCTATTTTGATTCTCATGAAGATGCTTCAATTTCGAGAACCGTAAAGATTTAATACGTATGGAAACTTTGTCTTTTAAGTCAAGGAAATTTCTCGATCGCTTCGTCGGCCATCTTGTAGCATAGACAATATTGTGTAAATGGAGACTTTTTTTTGACGGCGTTCAGGAATCCGGAAAAAAAGCACGTGCAAATATGCGAATTCTTTCTATCACGTGATTGCTATCGGTCTCTACCTTAATCTATTGAAGTCGTCAAAATGCGTCCGGCGACGTCACTTCCGGTCATACCGGAAGTCATCAGAAAATGCATATTTTTGCTGTTCTTGACAAGTTTTTGGGTAACATATGTCACTGGAAGCATAAAACTTAATTTTCCATCCGTCAACATCACTTCCGATCAAACCGGAAATAGCCAAAAATAGCTTATTTTTTAAGGTTTTGATGCAAAATTGAAATTATAAAGTGACTGGAGACAACTTAGCTCATTGTTTTCTTTTGTTGACGTCACTTCTGGTCAAAACAGGACGGAAGACCTACTCGTTGCTTTGCAACGAGCTTTGCTCTAGTATTTTACATTGTATTTGTAACTGGTGACTGTTTGTTTATAAAATTATTAATACACTTTCATCGACGATTTCAAAGAATAAACTTCAGTTATTAAAAATATTGAAACGGAAAGCTGTTTCCTATATTTTCATTATTGCGAAAGTTATAGCCCTTGTCGTTATTAATTACTTATTGTATGCATTGAAAATAAATACTTAATTAGTGTTGAATTTGAATTAAAGTTATCAATTATAATCATTGTATGTTACTTTAGTTGGGTTACTAAAGATTTGTTAATTGAATGCCTAATAAGTGTTTTGATTAGTTTGTAGATAAATAATCACTATGTATTATAGATGGTACTTGAGATATAAGGGTTTTTTCTGGCAATGAGTATAAAAGTTGGTGCTAGAGGTCAAACTCGAAATATCTGTGCTAGCGATCGCTCTTTGATGTAACTGAGACGGTGAACGCTGTACGTGATGAGTTAATTAGAGGACGGGACTAGTTTTAAACCTGTCCTGCTGTTATGATTTCTCTTTTACAAAGATTAAACTTATTTTGCTACCTTGCATGGTACATGTACGTGTAAGTGAGCGGACTTCCCTGCTTATATTATACTGTTCCAAGTAGTAAGTGTGTGGTCATCCCTGCTTATTACTTGTCAGAGTGTGTGGTCATCCCTGTTCTGAAATTGGCAACTCTTAGCAGCAAGTATTCGGACATCCCTGCTTGTTGCTGCGCAAGATCAGGTGTGTGGCCATCCCTGCCTGCATCTTGTAGAGCATTGGTGTGTGGACATCCCTGCCAGTGTCTCTAGTGTAGAACCGTGTCTATAGTGTCAAGTGTGCGGGCATCCCTGCTTGTCACTGCGCAAGGGCGAGTGTGCGATCATCCCTGCTTGTCTCTTGTGGATGTGCACTGGTGTGTGGACTTCCCTGCCAGTGTCACTTGTTCGCTACCAGTAAATACCTTATATCACGCAGTATCATAACAAAAATTGCACTAAAATAAGATTGTTACACGTTTTTGTGTATTTTGCACTCTTCGGCAGAGAAAGATAACGCGAGCTGTGAAGACCTAAAAATAAACACATAGATGCTGTCCTCTAGGGTGACCTTTTAACCTGATCGAACGATTCCCAGAACATGCGATTCATTAGAATGTGGTTGTTTACTTGTTTATCGGAAAATGTATTTGGTTAGGAGGAAGAAGCAACCAATGAGATAAGAGTGACCAGAGTTCAGGTGTTTGGATAAATTAGCTACAACAAACAATATTTAAAGATTATGCAAAAGATTGATAATTATTTTAAAAGTGCATTAGAAGTTTAAAACGAAATCAAGATCAGAATAATAGTAATTAAAATTCAAATCAAAATAAAAGGTAATTTTTGCAAATTTCGAAGGAGTTACAAATATGGAGATGGAAATATACAAACTTAAACCTAGTATGAAATAAACGGCCGGGATAGACAAGATTTCAGTGGAAAGCTGAATCTTGACTGCCTTGGTTGTATTTCATACAGGTTGGGTTACATCGCCACTCCCCAACTATGGCAGCCGTTCTGGTCCACAAATTTAAAAGGAGTTATATAATAAAAGAGGATAGCTGAATTGAGCCATCCCGGTACCTCCACAAGCCAAGCGAGTTCAGAATGAATTATATAATAAAGATGAAGAGCTAGAATGAGTAATCCCAGTACCTCTTCACGAGTTCCAGTGAAGGAGGTTAACCTGAACATGGTAGCGAACAATAAATACTTGTCTATTTTTTTTTATGAAAAGTGGTGGAGAGTCCTTTTAACTTGACGTCAGATTCAGAAGGAAGGAAATTAATAGCCTTTGACAGTTCTCTAAGTCGCCCCCTAGACGAGGATTAGCTAGCAATCACACTGGTTTTGCGGACAGAGGACTCTAATAAAGCCGAGACACGGACCAGAGCCGTCAGAACATCGACGAAGCCAAGTGACCCGGTTATGATAGGTGGTTGGAGAATCCGGTTTGCTTGACTGCAGATTGAGAAGAAAGTTAAAAACATTCAAATATAGAAGAAATCAGCCTTGGACAGTTCTCTAAGTCGCCCCCCCCCCCCCCCATGCAGATGAAGATTAACCCACAATCCCACTGGATTTTCGGACAGAGGAATTGAATAGAGGCAAAACACGGACCAGAGCCGTCAGACGATCGACGAGGCCAAAAGACCTGACATTCGATCCTTGGCAGAACCAACTAGGACTAACACGTTTTGACAAACTTGTGCCGACCTTGAGTTTAATGAAACAGACGAAACGAACTAAAAACGAACTAAAAACTCCTAATTGTGCAAACAGGACATTGTAGACTACTACCAACCCGTCCTTTGGTGGCCAGAAACACGAACAATTTCATATTTTGGGATAACCACAGTCGTTCCGTGCCGAAGCCCTTGCTTCCGAATTCCAGTGCTGATTTCAAGACAAATAATCCATTGTTGGACAGTTAAATTTTGTGTCCTATGAGTAAGACTTTGAAAAAAAAAAATGAAACTGAGTACAGGTAGGATAGCATTTTTTTTTTTCTAAATACCTACCTTTGGTTTGCAAGATTTTTTTTTAAAGACGACGGTACTTATAATGTTGTCATGCATATTGTTGATATTTTTTTTACATGGGCAATGTTTTATAATATACCTGATATAAGATTGTTCACGCATATGAGGAAATATAAATTAGGGACTTGCAAAATGAAGTGTTCTTAAAGTTAAATTTATGAGACCAAATCAAGAAAAAAAAACCTATAAATGGGAAGGGCCTTGAACGATAGTAAAGGAAACCCCGTTGACCATTTGTATAGGTTAACTAAGTTACAAATAAAAATCCTAAATGGGAAGGGCCTTGAAAGATAGTAAAGGAAAATCCGTACACCATGCATTTAGGTTGAAAGTAAAGTCACAAACTCTTGCGAGAGAATCTAATTAAAACCTATAAATGGGAAGGGCCTTGAAAGATAGTAAAGGAATCCCCGTAGACCATTTGTTTAGGTTAAGCAAGTTCCAAAATAAATCCTAAATGGGAAGGGCCTTGAAACATAGTAAAGGAAAACCCTTATACCTTTCATTTAGGTTAAGTCAGGACTTTATAAAAGTCAACCAAACACGGGGTTTGGTGAGAAATTTTTGAAGGGAAAATGATCGTAATGGAAGGGATATACATGTAGTTATTTTCCATTCTTCCGATATAATTACGAAAATCATTGCTCCTTTAGACTTAACTTTTAACCTTTTTTTTCAAAGCAGATATGCGTCAGATATAGGACGATATGTATTTGAACAGGATAAAGTCTTGTAATAAAAATGTATATCATGTGTTACTGTGAGAAACATATTTTTGTCAATTGTAAATCAAGATTTTTTACGGTTTTTTATCACTACTGTGTTTTTCTGGAAAAAAAAGGTGCCACCACTGCCCAGTTGGAGAAAAAAAAAGCAACCAAGAAAATTGTACATAGTATTTTTCGTGTTTGTTGTGTTTTTAAATATTGTAATTTTTTTTTTGGAAAGTGTATTTTGTATTTCTAAACATTTTGTATGCATTTAGATTATATTATATATAGTAATATGTCTATGTGTTTCCTTTGTAAAAGCCATCTGAAAATACGTAATGTTTACTAAATTTGAAATGAATTTTAAGTAATAAATATCACTTTGAACATTCGGTTAACTTTTATGTACACTAATTTTGCAGCAAGACAAATTATTCCGAATCATTAACTTTTTAAACAAATCTTGGGGACAAGATTTTCGACAGTAGGGGGAATTTATCATAACAAAAATTGCACTAAAATAAGATTGTTACACGTTTTTGTGTATTTTGCACTCTTCGGCAGAGAAAGATAACGCGAGCTGTGAAGACCTAAAAATAAACACATAGATGCTGTCCTCTAGGGTGACCTTTTAACCTGATCGAACGATTCCCAGAATATGCGATTCATTAGAATGTGGTTGTTTACTTGTTTATCGGAAAATGTATTTGGTTAGGAGGAAGAAGCAACCAATGAGATAAGAGTGACCAGAGTTCAGGTGTTTGGATAAATTAGCTACAACAAACAATATTTAAAGATTATGCAAAAGATTGATAATTATTTTAAAAGTGCATTAGAAGTTTAAAACGAAATCAAGATCAGAATAATAGTAATTAAAATTCAAATCAAAATGAAAGGTAATTTTTGCAAATTTCGAAGGAGTTACAAATATGGAGATGGAAATATACAAACTTAAACCTAGTATGAAATAAACGGCCGGGATAGACAAGATTTCAGTGGAAAGCTGAATCTTGACTGCCTTGGTTGTATTTCATACAGGTTGGGTTACATCGCCACTCCCCAACTATGGCAGCCGTTCTGGTCCACAAATTTAAAAGGAGTTATATAATAAAAGAGGATAGCTGAATTGAGCCATCCCGGTACCTCCACAAGCCAAGCGAGAGTTCAGAGTGAATTAAATAATAAAGATGAAGAGCTAGAATGAGTAATCCCAGTACCTCTTCACGAGTTCCAGTGAAGGAGGTTAACCTGAACATGGTAGCGAACAATAAAT